CAAAATTATTTCCTAATTTCTATCATACTTATGTAGAGGAAATAATGTATTTACCTGGCCTTGAAGCTCTTGAATAATCCTGAAGAAGCTGTTGAAGTTGGGTAAAGCGCTGGGCTGATTCCTCTTATACCACTCCTGGATATTTCTCTCAAGCTCGGCATTCTCTTGTTCCATAGAGCGGACTTTGTCCATGTAGGAAGCCAAGCGATCATTCAGGTGCTGCATGGTTTCCTTCCCATTGACAGTAAGCAAAGCATGATGGCTAAAATTGCTTCCATGGCCGCTGCTGTGAGCACTTCCATGAGCATGCTTGGAGATGGAGATTCCTTTACCTCCTGACCCTCCATGTACACTGGGGGCTCTATAGTGATTGCCATGATGGACTTTATGGGAACTTCCATGGTGGGTGGCATTGGAAGAATGATGAGTATTATGAGAACCTCCGCAGTGGAATCTGTGGGAGCCTTCATGATGAGAAGTATGGGAACCTCCATGGAGGGAAATGTGTGAGCCTCCTTGATGAGATGCACAAGATAAGTGGGTTCCTCCATGATGGCTACTTGAGGATCCTCCATGACAAGCACCATAGTGACTTGAGGTCTTAGAAAGATAGCTACCAATATGGCATTTTCCATGAGAGGATCCAGCAGAGGAGTGATCACTGTAAATCATGATAACACAGATGTAAGTGGTACAGTAGAGCTAAAGATAAATAGTACTTTTCTTGGTGGATGTTCTTCACAATATGTTCTCCGTCAATTCTGCTCCTTTATATATGAAAGACTGGGAGTGCCATCAAAGATTAATTGCTAATATTAATGTTTACAGTGTCTGACTGCTCATCTATCCAATGCTTTACATGCTTGGCATGAGGATTTAGCATTAAACATTTGGTACTCTGCTTGGAAAACATTAGACAACTGTAAAACAATTTCAAAATAATAAATGTATTGCTTTCCAGCTCATTAGAAACTTTTGCACACCCCACTCTAACAGTATATCATTAAAGGAAAATATGATTGGCTTAGCTGAACACACTTCAAATAAAACATTCAGAAATGCTATATTGTAATCATATTAAAAACATTAATCATGAAATCAAAATTATGCAGTTGATCTTAAACTGTACACAAAGCATTCCATTTTCTTTTCAGTTTGAGGTCTGCAAATGTAGCAACAGTGATAGAGTGTGAGTTCCTACTTAAACATTATTTTCAGTGTCTATCTATTTAGGTAGCCTTATCATTTACCAGCTGCTAAATCTTAATTATCTGTCATAATAGCATTTCTCTATTCCATGCTACATGCTGAGGAAGAATATAACATTTTTGCAGGCAAATTGTGTTGCAAAGAACAGTATACAACACCAAAGCAAAAGGCAACCAAAAACAAAGATTGCAAAGCTACATCAATTCCACACGGCAAGGAATATAATGGCACCTGCAAAGTTATTGCGTTAATCGCTGAGAGGAATTGTATATAGTAAGAGTTGTGCCTTAATGCACATAATGAATGTTATGCTTTGCCTTACCGGCAGCTCAGGATGTGTCCTAAAAGAAATATAAAAAGATACTTGAAATTTCTATCAAGGATCACATGCACTTGTTTTTACTTGAAAATAATTCCATTCCAGTAGACACCAAGGTGTTCTCTGTACTTGATTTGACAAAGTCTTTCTTTTCGATCCCAGTGGACGAGGAGACACAGAAACTATTGGCCTTTACGTTCCATGGGCAGCAATATACCCCAGGGATATGATGACTCAGCTGCAGTGTACTCATTGGCGCGTTGTGAAACCCTTAAAGGTTGGATGTCACCCAATGGTTCTGTCCTCCTACAGTATGTGGACAACTTGATTCTTTGCAGCCAATCACTGAAGGCTTGTCAAGCGGACACCATCTCATTATTATGTCACTTGGCACAAGAAGGTCACAAGGTCTCCTATACCAAGTTTTAATACTGTAAAGAGACTGTTCAATATTTGGGCTTCACATTGTCTCCAGGAAAACGCCACCTTTCCCAATACATAATACAGGCACTGCTATCTTTAATGGAACCACACACAAAGAAGGACATGTTGAGTTTCTTATCCTGGCAGCATGTGCCATGGAAATGGCACTCCCCCTGACTTTGGCTCATGAGACTATCTTACACACCCCTCATCATGTTCTTCACAACCTAACTGTCAAATACTCCTCCCCCCACTTCAGGCCCCATCCAGACTATGAATGCTCTGTTTAGACTTAAAGGAGACGCAGATATTCCCCTTGAGGAACATGACCGCCTAGAAGTCATACATACATATGTCCACTTCTATTCCAGGTGCCCTAGATATTTTTGTAGATGGCTCCTGTTCCCGCCCGAATTACTTTACATACTTGACAGGATATGCAGCATTTCAACTCATAGATATTGTACATGAGGCTGTCCCCTTACCACATGCTTAGACACAGGCCATAGAACTGATTGCTCTTACTAGAGCATGTTATCTTTTCAAAGGACAGGATGTCAATGTCTATACTGATTGTAAATATGCTTTTGGGAGTGTACATGACCGCAGATGGGAAGTCCATTTCACATTGTACCCTTATTACTGATTTGCTAAATGCTATTTAAAAGTCTTCCCGCATAGCTGCTACAAAATGTAGGGGACACATGGTATATGATGACCCTGTGGCAAAGGGCAATCATTTTGCTGATCAGGTATTCATTCCAAGCCGGCTGCTTTGCAACTTCTTTTGGATTCTAGTGCCAGTTTTGCAGTAATGACACCTCTCACGTTGGCAGATGATTCATTGCTGCAGGAATTGCAAGACGACGATAAGCAAATCCTGGGAATCACAGGGATTGACCCCAGAGCAGTTTTGCCTGTGGTCCAAAGGAAGGATCATAGGTACAGTTGTGCTCATAAGTTTAAATACCCTGGCAGAATTTATGATTTCCTGGCCATTTTTCAGAGAATATGAATGATAACACGAAAACCTTTCTGTCACTCATGAGTAGTGTTTGGCTGAAGCCATTTATTATCAATCAACTGTGTTTACTCTTTTCCAATCATAATGACAATAGAAACTACCCAAATGACCTTGATCAAAAGTTTACATACCCCAGTTCTTAATATGGTGTGTTGCCCCCTTTAACATTAATGACAGCTTGACGTCTTTTGTAGTATTTGTGGATGAGGCTCTTTATCTTCTCAGATGGTAAAGCTGCCCATTCATCCTCCAGGTCCTGTAAATTCTTGGGCTGTCTTGCATGAACTGCACGTTTGAGATCTCCCCAGAGTGGCTCAATGATATTGAGGTCAGGAGACTGAGATGGCAACTCCAGAACCTTCACTTTATTCTACTGTAGCCAATGACAGGTCGACTTGGCCTTGTGTTTAGGATCATTTTCATGTTGGAATGTCCAAGTACGTCCCATGCGCAGCTTCCGGGCTGATGCATGCAAATTGTCCTCCAGTATCTTTTGATAACATACTACATTCATCGTACCATCAATTCTGACCAACTTTCCTGTGCCTTTGTAGCTCACACATCCCCAAAACATCAGTGATCCACATCCGTGTTTCACAGTAGGAATGGTGTACTTTTCATTATAGGCCTTGTTGACTCCTCTCCAAATGTAGCGTTTATGATTGTGGCCGAAAAGCTAAATTTTGGTCTCATCACTCCAAATGACTTTGTGCCAGAAGGTTTGAGGCTTGCCTCTGTGCTGTTTGGCGTATTGTAAGCGGGATACTTTGTGGCATTTGCGTAGTAATGGCTTTCTTCTGGCGACTCGACCATGCAGCCCATCTTTCTTCAAGTGCCTCCTTATTGTGCATCTTGCAACAGCCACACCACATGTTTTCAGCTTCATCTGAAGTTATTTGCGGGTTTTTCTTTGCATCCCGAACAATTTTCCTGGCAGTTGTGGCTGACAGTTTAGTTGGTCTACCTGACCGTGGTTTGGTTTCAACAGAACCCCTCATGTTCCACTTCTTGATTAGAGTTTGAACACTGCTGATTGGCATTCTCAATTCCTTGGATATCTTTTTATATCCCTTTCCTGTTCTATACAGTTCAACTACCTTTTCCTGCAGGTCCTTTGACATTTATTTTGCTTTCCCCATGACTCAGAATCTAGACACGACAGTGCAGCACTGGATAAAGGATGCAAGGGTCTGTCAGGAGGCCAGAAACTCATTGGCCTTTTATACACACACACTGATTACATGCAAACAGATCACATGTGAGGATGGTTCCCTTTACTAGCCATTCACACCCCTTTGTGTCAACCTGTGTGCATATCAGGCCAAAATCACCAGGGGTATGTAAACTTTTGATCAGGGTCATTTGGGTAGTTTCTGTTGTCATTATGATTGAAAAAGAGTAAACACAGTTGATTGATAATAAATGGCTTCAGCCAAACACTACCCATGAGTGACAGAAAGGTTTTCATGTTATCATTCATATTCTCTAAAAAATGACCACGAAATCATAAATTCTGCCAGGGTATGTAAACTTATGAGCACAAGTGTATCCCCAAAACATCGGCCCCTTTGTCTATAGCACAGTTCCATGTATTGGATATAAGTGGAGGAAAGTTACATTGCAATCATTAAAAGAACATGTAAAATGTAGTCAAATTGTGCATTGATTGGAAATTTCACATCCTTTATCACCCACAGGGCTCAGGGATTGTACAGAGGATGAATAGAAGTATTAGGGATAAGTTGATAAAAGGTATGGGTGGGTCATTTGCTAAATGGCCAGATTACTTGCCATTGTGTCTTCTAAAAAAACTAATGAAATGTCACCCTTTGAAATTTTAATGGGAAGACCTTTCCACACACCTGGGACTAGAGGTCCACCAATTTAATTGACTTGCAGCAGATCCAGGAGACATATGTGGAACAATTAATTGAGAAATTTAACAGCATCTATGGTGAGGTCTCTCTCTCTCTCTCTTTACCGTCAGAACAACCTACTTATCCCTTTAAGCCCAGAGATGTGGTATTAGTGAAGGCGCTCCACTGACACCGAACTCCGGACCCCCCCATATGGAAAGCCTACAATGATGGTGGTGGTCACAAGAACAGCGGTCCTGACAGAGGAATCCCCAGTTTGGATCCATGCTTCAAGGGTGAAGTTAACCCCTAAGGGACAGCAAATGGAGAAGGAACTGATACATCATGGTCAAAATGTTTCTTCTGGATCCACTGGCTCCATTTAAACACATCTGCATTTTCTTTACATTCATTGTAATAATCTTTGCCATAATATGGACAAGCACTGTGTGTGTATGAAGGGTGTGACTGTCCTTTAAGATGCAGGCCTAAGGATGAATCACTGTTACATAAGGAAAGAGCAATCCCCTTAACACCGGGAATAACAATAACCTTTATTACATATGTCAGCCTTTTTCATGCATGGCTAAATATCTCTAAAAATAGACAACAGGATCTTTCCAGCTAATCAGGCTTGTTCGGTACTTAACATTGCTGAAGGTAATGACTCATCAATATATCGAGTAAATCAGGGTAATTTTTCATCAGTATATGTGATTGTATTACAAATCATTTAGGATGTAATTTATCCCTGAGTAATTATACCCACTTGCAGTGTTGTATAATACCCTCAGGAAGACTATTTGATATTAAATTTCATATAGAATTAATCAAGAAGAATGAAATAGAGTGTGAGGGAAATTATAGCTCAAATGGGTTTTTGTTAATAGGATATATGGTGTTGTGAAAGAATGCGACCCGCATACAGAATAGGTGTTGGTGGTTCACAGCAAAAGGTCTCAGCCACAGGTAGATAAGACCCATGTGGTCAGCTTGCCTACCCAATGTGTAAATGCATCCAGAGTACATAAGGATGTGATTGTTATCTATAATATTTCCTTTACACCTGTGCCTAACTGCACTCATAGAACCCGCATTAAGAGGGCATGGTATGATACTTTTTTAGGAACCATGGTCACAGTCAAGGGAACATTGGATGCTGGAGACATGGAAATAGTGAGAAATAACGTAAGTAATGCAGGGACTGATGTGGGAGGTGCAGTCGCACTTACCGCTAAATGGTTGCCCACTATATGGGAACCACAAAAGCAGAATGAAAATAATCAATAAAGGACCTTTCCAATTTACAAACTGGGTTGTATAACTCCTTTAGTGGTTGGTCAAATATTTCTGCCTTTGTCAAATGTAAAGCATGTACTTTCCAATCATTGTGGGCCATACAGCGAAGGCAAGTTATAGTTACCACATTACAGAATAATGATTATCGGGGGTGGAGACAAGTATTCATGGTTCCCAGTGGTATTTGGATATATATATCCAAAAAAACGCGCCAAAGGCGCACAGGAAGTGACGTAATTGATTACCTCACTTCCCTATATAAAACGAACCAGCATGTCTCTTAAATTGCTGGATTGTCTTATCAGCTCCTGTCTGTGTTGTGTATCCTGTTTCCTGTCTTGAATATTAGATCACCGTTTGCCTGGATTTTGACCTCGGACTGTTTTTGGATTACTCTTCTGCCTCTTCCTTCGGTACTGCATATGACCTCCTGGATTTTGACCTCGACTTGCCTCGACTTTGATTTCTGGATTACCCTTCAACTTGCACGGTTTCACAACCACTGGCACTCGTGCCACTCGGTGTCTGCCTGGCCTCTGTCACCATCCTCAAAGGCTACAAGACATGAGGTGCAAGGGAAGCCTCCTCAACCATCCAGTCTCCCAGACCAGGTTCGTAATAGTGATGTACTTTCTTACAAAGTGCACCCACATATATTATATATTGTTTTTTAGAGGCCAGATAGGGCTATATATTTATATCACATAGGTGTACCTAACGCCTTACTTAGGACAAATAAAATATTACATTCTAGGAAAAAAACTTAAACACTTTTTCCCCTTGTTTTAAATTATATATAGCACAGCTAAAAAATGCATTAAATACATTCATTTATTTGTTCTTTATTTGGAAAAAACTCACATTTCTAGGATTTTAGAAATTGTCATTAAGTCTCACACATACTTTGAACATCACTGTCATGAGGGGGGTTAAATAAAAAAAATGAAGTAGCAGTTTAGAGAGGCTATAGTCAAGAATTGGTGGCTCAAAGGATGTTCTGGTAAATTGTTCAAACGGTAAAAATGGCGAGCGCACAACTGTTATGGAATGTGGTAAGAGGAATAGATCTGTTTAAAATCAATTTGAATGTTAAACAATTCTGCAACAATTTTGAAACAAAAACAAAAGTTAGAACAAAATTTAAAAAATGTATAAGGCTACAGGACGGCAGATTTCTTGCGCTCCAGCCATAGGAGCCTCCCAGCTGTCACTACCATCTCTCCTCCATCACCAGGGGACCAAACCAGACACTTCCAAACCCATACCTCTCACCGGCAGGACATTACTACGTCCATCCAGCAGTACAATAATCACCAGTGAAAATTCATGCACTGCCTATTCGACGATGTAGCCCGTTCATCACATCCACACCGATCGGCCCGAGACACTGCTGAGCGATCCATACAGCCTTTTCTCCTGATCTGCAAGACCTCATCTTGTCCGCCCAAACAGTGAGTTTTCAGTCCAGTATTGATTTTAAAGTTGTTATTTATACCATCCCCACAATATCCCAGGGTTGCAGCGCTTCTTTCCACCTTCCTTTTTACATATGGTAAATTGTTCAGCAACTGAGTATGCCTAAGCAGAATAGATTCCAGATTGTGCTGAGCAAGACTGGGGAATTGCTGACCACTATTTTTGGTCAGCTGAGCAGAGGGCCACAAGTCTCTTCCCCCATCCCATGTGGCGCACTGAGAGGAGTATGAACCCCAAACCTGTTCACAAGAGGTCACCTACTTCAGCCCTTCCTTGTTTTGTGCAAAACTGAGCTGTAACAATACCAATATCTCTGTTCCTCCTGTTGGACATGCAACAGCATATGCTGATATACGTATATTATTTGTCTTTTGAGCTATAGATGGCAGTGTAGTGCAATGCTAGTCTCTATGTGCATGCATATCTTTGATACACCGGAAGATTTTTTTAATCTTCTTTGTTTTTCTTCATCATGCCGTATTCATACATGTAATGTTCTTCTAAGCAAGTAAATCTTAAATCAGCAACCCTCAAGATCTCTGTGCTTAATTTTAGTTTTATTTATTTTGGTGCTGTCCCCTTCAATCTTGCTGCTCTAGGCACTTATCTGCAATTTCCTTGTGATAATACAGCCCTTATTATATGCAAACCTATACATTTGTACTTTATGTTGATTTTGTTTTTTATCTTGGCAAAGAAAATGATCCGTGCATCAGCAATAACACAAACACTGGTTGCATTATAAAACAAGACTTGTTTTATTGAAAATTGAGTAGGCGACAAGGACAAGAGAATCATGATCAAAATTCAGCAGATTACATCAGTAGTACACCTGAATATGTACAGTTACAATAATCCTAAAACAATCTAAATAACCAGAGTCTAGGTCTCAGTGTATCCACCACATTAAAATTATGCATACTGCATGCTAATGCTCCATTAATATATACAAACGTAGACAATACCAACATGTTTCTAACATATGATTACAAAAATGTTATTACAATTCATTGAATGTCTGTATAAACCTTGTTCTGGATTATGTTAATAAAACTCCCTGAAGCCTCAACAGACAAAAGAAGAGTTCCACTTTGATTAAGCATGCTTTTATGTATGCATTCACGTACCATTCACTATTCTAATTATTTCTATAGGCAAACCTCAAGGTGCTGTGTCTGGAATAAGTAATTTTGAGTCTGATTAATAAGGAAGTGCATAGCACAGGAGAAATAGCAACAAATCAGATCCTTACACAAATCGGCCTTGTTCATATTTGTACTCTTTTAGCACATAATCATTTTACTTTGCACAATTAATTCAGAAATACTGATTATGTTACACCATCTGAGTGAAACCAGACTACACCATCTGAGTGAAGCAAACTGTCTTTCAACTTTGTGTGCTACAAGGGGTCACGCAGTGCCCCTTCATCAGGATCACACAGTGATGGATCGTTATGGATCTTTATAAGTGTTCAAATGCTATTACTCCAGAGCTTCTATAATCCGTAGGTCAAAGTGTTGAAATTGAGTTATTAACTTCAATAGTATATCACCAACCTATAGTGATGAACATGTCTCTAACTAATCCAAAACCTTGCATGATTTCAATTGTGTCTACTGTGTATGGATCTGGGTGCATCTTGTTCATGTCCCATGCCAAGTTTTGTCTAGGTGAAGCAGATCCTGGAGGCCACATAAGAAGAAAACAGAGAAAGACACCAAAAGACTTCTGGAGACAGGGTAATACTCTCATACACAGGGTTTCTCCAGAAGAGTGAAAACCACATTAGCATACAGTATGGTGGTGATTACTGTGGCTAGTCCCATGGTGAGCTTTCATTGTGTGGTGAGATGCTGAAAGTAGAAGATAAGATATTTAAAAATATTAGTATTCTAGGTCACATTAGAGAGGACTGCAAATTGTCTATGTATTTCAAATCTTTTCTCCAGATTTTCTCTGATTATTATTGTTATTATTATGTAGTTAGTCAGATTGAAAAAAAAAACATATCGAAATGAGAAAAGCCAGAAAGGGAGAGGGTATTTAAAAAAATATATTAGGTATGGTCCAGTTTTCTTCCTAAGCCCCAGAAAATTGGATTAGTGAGGCTTTTCACCCAAGATTTCCCCTGAGGTGGCAAGAGGTTCCACAAGCAGTGGGGAATCGATCCCCCTCCCCTTCTGAAGGTATATGCATAATTCCAGAACCAACATTACTCAGCAGAGGCATTTGAGTGGCACCACTGGAGCCTCTCCTTTATTCTCACAGGTAAGTAACCACAGACCCCAATAATCTCATTAAAATGTATGTTGAGCCAAAACCTTTTTTTGCTCTCTGTAGAATGTGGAAGTGTTAGACTTTCTATTTGAGAAAATCTGCTGCTACTGGCACACTAAATGAGTGAAACATAACTGACGGAATATGGGATAACAGTCAGAACAGTTAAACAAGCTGGATATTTGCTCTCTGACAGGTGGGCATTTTTCTGGAAAACCATCATCTTAAAGGGAACTACAATTTATGGGGGTTCTTCTACTGACACCAATGTATGAGGGCACTTTCCCACTGACTACCAACTAACTACTTAGGGGATCCTTATCATTGACCACCAATGTATAAGGGTGACTTTTTGATGGACCACCTAGATCAGGGACATTTTTACACTGATCACCAATGCAAGGGGGCACAACACTGACTAAAAGTGTGAAAAGGCCTTTCTCCATTGACTCTAGGTATGACACAATCTTATGGTTTAGGATTATTTTAGGTTATTTTTATTATCATATCTACAAAGTACTGATCATGCTTATTGACTAAGTTTAGCTATACTGATACTTGGCATTTATTTATTTGATAAAAAGGTGGAGAAAGGCTGTCCTGAACAAACATTTTACTATACATAAGACTATGGGGTCTATTCACAAAGCTGCCGAGGGCAGCCGAGTGAATGACCGATCAGAAGTGAAGTGAGCCGAACACTGTTCGGCTATTCACTTCAGGCTGGTACGGCTAATTTCAGCCGTACATCGGCTGAAATCAGCCGTACATCGGCTTGCTTCGTGTGGCTTCGGATCAGCCGAACATGCTCAGCATGTTCGGCTGACCCGAAGTGCAGAAGGAGTTCGACTCAGCCGATCCAACATCTGGATCGGCTGAGCAGAACCTCCGGCAGGCTTCACACTGCTGTTCGGGCTATTCTGAAAGATCCCGAACATCAGTGAGAGAATAGCCGAATGCCGCCGAGCGGCATTTGGCTCGGCTGTTCTGCTCGGTCCCTCAGAGGCACCGAGCAGAATAGAAAAAGAGTGAAAAAAGTAGAAAAAAGTTAATCGAAAACGATTGTGCAGAGCTAGCAGTGACAGCTAGCTCCGCCCAATAGTTTCCTATTGTCCGGCGGCTCTGCTGCTGTAAAAAAAAAAAAATTAAAAAAATCCCCCGGGCGCTCTGGGAGCCCCCCGCTCCCGGCCGCCAAGAAGAGAAACCCCGCTGTGTCTTTTTTTTTTCTTTATTCTGACACGAGCATGTCAGAAAACAGAAAAAAAAAAAAAGACGAATTCCCATTCAAAAGCATTGGGAGTTTACTATTGGCTATTTCAATTTGCAATAGCCAATAGTAAACTAGCATTGTACCCGCCCTCTGCTCATGGACCTGATGGGGAACTGAAAAAGAGGGCGGGTACAATGCTAGTTTACTATTGGCTATTGCAAATTGAAATAGCCAATAGTAATGTCCCAATGCTTTTGAATGGGAATTTTTTTTTTTCTCTATTCTGACATCGCTCCGTGTCAGAATAAAGAAAAAAGACACAGCGGGGTTTTTCTCCATGGCGGCCGGGAGCAGGAGACTCCCGGGGTGCCAGGGAGAGTCAGCTATTTGGAGATCAGTGTACCTGGTTGATCTCTCTGAAAGTGGCCGGAGCCAGCCATATGATCACGGCTGGCTTCGCCCAGCTGTCAGAAGCAGGCAGTCGGCCGGCCAATGGCCGGCCGCTCGGCCAGCTTCGGCTTTCAGCACGGCTCAGCCGAGCCGACTGAGCCGCTCGGCCATGATCGGGACCTGTAAGGGCTATTGTGAATAGCCCGTACAGCACCCCCTCGGTTCTCCTGAACCGAAGGGGTCCTGGGGCCGAAGCTAGCCGAAGGATCAGCTGAAGCTACGGCCAGATCCTTCGGCAGCTTTGTGAATAGACCCCTATGTATGGTATTTGAAAATGTAATAAGCCTTTTATCTTTTTAGCTTTACAAAAGCACCCAGCCTTTCTTTTGAAAGAGTCTACAGCTAGAACCTGTTACTCTTCCTCTTTTTAACTGCTATTACTGTAAAGAACGCTTTTTTCAGCTTTGGCATTCTCTAAGTCATTCCTGGACCAAGGCCTGCCATTTGCAAATGGTAGAGAGGGAAACAGCCAGGTTACTATGTAATCAGTCATAATATTGTCTCTCATTGTTGTTTGTCCCTTAGTACATAACAAAAATCACAGTATACCATGCAACTATTATGGAACCCAGAAGCACACCTCATAACTACATTTGGGAAAAATAAAAGTATATAGAGTATGACTGCTGAAAGTGGAATGCCATTTTGATGGAGATCAAAGTGACCGGATGAACTTTTAAAGGATTTGCTACAGGGTGCCAATAGACATAGCCCTGCCCATAATGCTGCGGTATCTAAATGCCACTAATGCTCAGCCAATAGTTTGAATTTGTCTCATATTTTACATTCTGCATATTTTTCTAACAGCTGATGCATTACCACTTAAGTCAATATAAGTTTACGTACCATCACTGCCTCCTAGAAATGTATGACTTGAAGTGCTAAAAATGTAAAAATACAGTAGAGATTAATGAAAATATACATTGTATTCTAAATAGGTTGGGATTTCTATAATATTGATAAACAAAATTGACAAATTTGATGGACTGTGTGGTCCCAAGCTTATGTCTGTATTTCGGTGTTCTAAACCTGATCTGATTGCTGATTATTATATCAAATACAATACATTCAGATATAAGCATTATTTCTTTCCTTCTTAAGATATAAGGTGAATAGGTATTGCTATAAATTGAGGCCTGCATATGTGACAGGAATATTTGTTTAGTTGCTCATCTTGCATGACATACTTACTGGATATTATGACCGTCCAATAGGCGTTTATAGGTGGCGATCTCCATCTCCAGGTGTGTCTTTTGGTCCATTAGGATCCTGTATTCCTGGTTCTGACGTTCCAGGTCAGAGCGTACCTGTGCCAGCTGGGACTCTACACTGTTGATCAAACATTGTATCTGGGCAAGTTGGGCTCCAAATGTGGCTTCTGTCTCTGCTAAGGTGTTCTCCAGAGCAGATTTCTGAGAAATTAAAGAGAAAGATTGTATACAACCATAAGTACATAGTGATAGTTTTGCAAATGAAGGGAAGCAACGTGACCTTGATGCAAACCTTATTAGTTGGCTGGTAATAATACTTACCATGCTCAGCTGGCTCTGCAGTTCGATCTCCAGGGTTTGGACGGTGCGATTCAAGTCAATGACTTCAGTATGCACAGATTGGAGTTGTGCAGAACCAGAAGCAACATCACGATTCAGTTCCTCAGTCTATATGAATAGAAAGTTGGTTAGAGTCACCTACCCTTTAATATATGGAGGATGATTTCTAGGTAGCTTTTATATATGAAGCAACATATATTTCAGTTTTGTTCTTGTGAAAACATATTCTTACATTTTAAATATAGTAAGTCTTAATAAGGGGATTTGTACTATTCTAGCCATAAAGCCCAACTGTACTGTGCTCCAGTCAAAAATGCTCATGCTCCCTGAAAAGGAAGCATAAGCGTTAGTGCTTGATGAGAGTATTTCTGATTGTGCAGGGGCTATTGCAGACCACTGGAGAGCTCAGCATGAGAGCAGTGGCCCTTACCTTCACTATAAAAGGTAGTTTGGGACGGTGCTGGAGTGCTATTAATAAAAAGAAAGGTTACATTTTTTAGCCCCCTGACCTGTCTAAAATGTAAAACATGTACATGTTGTACAAATGTAAAAAATTACAATTAAGTATTAAAGCCAATCGTGTTCTTATTAACTGTTTAATTGAACAAAATCATGACATAATAGTGCCTAATGAACATGCAATTTTTGTATCAGTTTTAACAAGCTTTTTCAGTCTACAAAAAGACTTACCCTTTGTCGGAAAATAGTTTCCACCTCTCTCAGATTCCGTTCCATCAGGTTCTCATACTGCTCTCTAATTTCAGATAAGGCTCTATTCATATCAGCCGATGGAGCAGCATTCATTTCCACACTGACCCTGGCACCCAGCTGAGCTTGCAAAGCATTGACTTCCTGTCAATAGAAATGTTGGAAATCAGTAGTATAATGGTGGATGCATTTTTGGCGATCTGCATAATGTGTTCTTTAGGGTCTGTGTTTACAGGCTATGGGCTTGTGTTGAATTTCAAATGCATTGTGCTTTTAGCTGTACTTGGGATTGGTTTGAGACACTTCTAAGATCATTTAAATTCATTGATAAGTGCATTTGAACTGCAGTTAACCTGCTTTCAACCTGAATGAGCCTTCTACTAAGCTTCATCGGATTGTCAATCGTATAATATGCTCTTGCATTCGTATTGACTTGTATGAGAATGAAGCAAGTCCTGAAGAGAACAAAAGCACCCAGGTCTTTACTCTGCCATTCCCCCGTCATGCTTATTACCCCTTACATTGGGTTTATATCTACTTTAGGAATCATTCTGAAAAAAACAATCAATAAAGCTTCATATGGTCTTTAATATGCAAATGTAATTCTAAGGGGCTTATTCACAGAGGAGCCGAAGGATCCAGCCCTAGCTTCGGCTAATCCTTTGGCTCTCTTCGGCCGCCAGAGCCCTTCAGTTCAGTCACACTGAAGGGCTTCTGTACGAGCTATTCCCTATAGCCCGTACAGCAGTCGAAGGCGGCCATCAGAGGCAAAGTGACATCCGAAGTGGGGCAAATTAAATTAAATTTAATGACAGATCAGCATCCCCATGTTATTTGGGGACGCTGATCTGTCATTACAAATGGGCGGAGCGAGCCGTAAGATTAAGGCTGGCTTCGTCTTGCTGTCATTTGCGTGGAGAAAGGTTGGCCCTTAGGGCCAACCTTTTTCCATGCTTCAGTCGTCACTTAGGCTCAGTCAAGCCGAAGCATATGCCTTCGGCTCGGCTGATCCGAAGGTATATGCTTTTGTGTATAGCCCGTACAGCAGCCCTTTGGTTCGACTGAACCAAAGGGCTCAGATGGCCAAAGCAAGCCGAGGGATTAGCCAAAGGTACGCCTGGATCCTTTGGCTCCATAGTGAATAACCCTCTAATTCTAACTGTACCAAAGGTGATGAAGATGAAGATATATCTGGGGGTTGGTCCTCCTTTTTTGTTCTCAAATAAAAGAGAATCTGGACAGAAGTTAAACACTGAAAGCAGAATCTTTAAATAGTTCTCTACAGTGCACAATGACTGTTGTGATCCATTGTTCAGGTGTCAGTTTATCATTTTTAACAGATGTCTCTAGAAAGGCAGCATAAGCCTAAAGTAAAAATGATTTCTGCTTTGTTCCATCTACTCTGTATTAACACATTATTAATTATTTATTTTAATATACATTTCCAGTTTAGCTTAAGAAGGATAGTAAGCTTCTCACCTGCTCATGGTTCCTCCTCATTTGCTGCAGTTCCTCCTGAAGGTTTCCTATGTGTGCCTGCAGATTACATATGTCCCGGTTCAGTTCTTCAAGGAGTATACGAAGTCCATTCACATCAGCCTCAACACTACATCTAAGCTGGCGTTCCATTACATACCTGGTGACAAAGGGAAGACAAAGCAATGAATACTATTGCTTCAAAACAGTAATAAAGATGAAAAGCATGAAATATAGAGAGACCTACTTGTTTCTGAAGTCATCTGCTGCCAGACGAGCATTGTCTATTTGTAATATAATCCTTGCATTGTCCAAAAAAGATGAGGAAATCTGAAAAACATATGTGTTACATATTGAATGCAAATGATAAATTCATACATTGTATTAAATTGAACTTTTTTCTGTACTAGTTGAGAAGGTTTACTGCAGATCTATTATGGCTTGGTATTGTAACATGGCCATTTTCAGTCTCTATTCTATATGCATTATGTATTTAAAGAGGCCCGTCACCAGACTATTGCTTTCAACATCAATATTCTCATAATATTATATATCCATTTATATTTTATGTATGTTATTTACCTGTAAAAGCTTCTCTTGTCTAGACATCCAAAACCCCTGAAACTGTTGCTGGGCACCACCATCTTGGATATCATGTCTGCAGACCCAACAGACTCAGTGCTGTCACTCAAGTGACATTCTAAAGAAGTCACCTTTGCTCCTTCCCCAGCAGCTACAAAAAAGGTTATGTAGGGAAGGACAGAGGAGTTTTGCCATCACAGACAGTAATTAGACACTCCCAGAAGAGGGCTATGAAGGAGGTCTCCTCCATATCCGGAGTAACAGGTATATATATCCGACCCTCAGCATTGAATGCCAAAGCAGGGAAGAGAAGCAAAGTAAGTACATGCGGTGAAGGGGGATTACATAAATCCTGTTGCTTTGCTCTGAATGATCAAAGTGTAGGTTTGATTTATAGGGTTGGCCTACTTAAATAATAATATTGATATTTGCAAATGCTAAAAAGTGTTTTGAGCTCTGCTATGAGTTCCAAGATCTGCACTCCTGATGAAGACATTACGATGAAGTCGCACCCAACCTGTTGGATTGCAACAGACTGGATATGACCTATTGGAATGCAAAGAAAATGGGAGAGTCTAAGATTGGTGAAAACACAATCAGGAATTTTGGCAGGCATACATCAACACTTCCCAAGAAAACATGTTGATCCCTCCTTCAATATAACCTAGCATGCAAATACATCTACTGTATAACTGCATGTGTCAGCTGACAACTTTATATAATACACAAGGAAATGTAAAGTAGCTGGACTCTAGATTATCCCAATGCAGCTCTCCAAGGACATCAAATTTGACTGGATATTTTAAAGGAGCTAAGCTGTTTTCATATTGTAAATATGTGGGTATCTATAATGCTGTATATAATTAATACAATATTTGTGTAGATTTGGTGTTCATATTAAAATAATTATTTCTGCAGTCAAAATAATTTCTTAACGTCTATCTTACTTATTCAGAGGAAATAATGTATTTACCTGGCCTTGAAGCTCTTGAATAATCCGGAAGAAGCTGTTGAAGTTGGGTAAAGCACTGGGCTGATTCCTCTCATACCACTCCTGGATATTTCTCTCAAGCTGGGCATTTTCTTGCTCCAGAGAGCGGACTTTGTCCAAGTAGGAAGCCAAGCGATCATTCAGGTGCTGCATGGTTTCCTTCCCATTGACAGTAAACAAAGCATGATGGCTAAAATTGCTTCCATGGCTGCTGTTGTGAGCACTCCCATGAGCATGCTTGGAGATGGAGATTCCTTTACCTCCTGACCCTCCATGTACACTGGGTGCTCTATAGTGATTGCCATGATGGACTTTATGGGAACTTCCATGGTGGGTGGCATTGGAAGAATGATGAGAACTATGAGAACCTCCGCAAAGGAATCTGTGGGAGCCTCCATGATGAGAAGTATGGGAACCTCCATGAAGTGAAATGTGTGATCCTCCATGATGAGATGCACGAGATAAGTGGGATCCTCCATTATGGATACTTGAGGATCCTCCATGACAAGCACCATAGTGGCTTGAGATCTTAGACAGATGTCTACCAATATGGCATTTTCCATGATAGGATCCAGCAGAGGAGTGACCACTGTAAATCATGATGACACAGATCTAAGTGGTACTGTAGAGTTAAAGATAAATCGTACTTTTCTTGGTGGATGTTTTTCACAATATGTTCTCCATCCATTTTGCTCCTTTATATATGGAGGACTGGGAGTGCCATAAAATATTAATTGCTAATTTTAATGTTTACAGTGTCTGACTCCTCATCTATCTAATGCTTTACATGCTTGGCATGAGGATTTGACATTAAACATTTGGTACTCTGCTTGGAAACATAAGACAACTGCAAAACAACTTCAAAATAATGAATCTATTGCTGTCCAGCTCATTAGAAACGTTTGCACACCCCAACCAACAGTTTAACAATAAAGTAAAGATGATTGGCTTGGCTGAACATACCTCAAATAAAACATTCAAAAATGATATATTGTAATCATATTAAAAATATTAACCACATGATGCAGTTGGTCATAAACCGGACACAAAGCATCCCATTTTCTTTTCAGTTTGAGGTCTGCAAATATAGCAGTGATAGAGTGTGAGTTCCTACCTAAACATTATTTTCCGTGTATATCTAATTAGGTAGCCTTTGCATTTACCAGCTGCTAAATGTTAATTATCTGTCATAATAGCATTTCTCTATTCCATACAATATCTTGAGGAAGAATATAATATTTTTGCAGGCAAATTGTGTTACAAAGAACAGATTTACAACACCAAAGAAAACAAGATTTTAAAAAAAGGGGCCACTAGGAGATTTCAGCCTTCATGAAGAGAGTGAGATACCTGGGTGACCACATCTAGGAAAATGGCTCTTTGACCTGAACCAAAACAGCGATCTGTTACTGGACCTCTATCTTGCTTTGTTCTTAACTACCACCGTGTTCAAACATAGGAATGATCAGACGTTTGCCTACTTCAAGTCAAAGGTTGTCAAAAATATTTCCATTTTACCTTACCTAATGCCCGCTGTTATTCACTATTTTAACGTGTTTGGCAGTTAAGCACAGCTGTCAGTTGACATGTCAGTTCACATTTGGTACTGAGAAGAGCATGTGAACCCAATATCAACATTGGCCCTAATTTATCAATCTGCAATAGCATTTAAATAGACTGAATAGCGCTTACGTTATGCTAAGAGATATGTGATAATATTGACCAAGAGGTCACTTTCTGAATAGGTTGCATCCAAGGTTTCAGTTTCACAATCATCAAATAAATACTATGCCCAACAGAGCAATACCAAGAAGGTGGTAGCAAAAATAATCTGCAAAACCCAAAGTATGGACCCGGTAATTGATTCCGGATTGTGATAAACAAGACTGGGGAATGGATGACCGCTATTAAACAACTGAGCAGTGGGCCACAAGTCTCTTCTCCCATTCCATGTGGTGAATTGAGAGTATATGCCCCAAACCTGTTCACATGAGGTCACCTATTTCAGCCCTTCCTTGTTTTGTGCAAAACTGAGCTGTAACAATTGCCGTATCTCTATCCCTCCTGTTGGGCATACAACAGCATATAATTATATAGTTTGTCTTTTGAGCTGTAGATGGCTGTGTAGTGCAATGTTAGTCTCTATGTGCATGTACAGTCATGGCCAAAAATATTGGCACCCCTGAATTTCTGTCAGTTTAGGCATATTTATGTATATTTCTTTTGTTTAACAGCTTTTTGATGAAACAAAATTACAGCTTTTTGGTAAAGCCCATCATTTTACTGTTTGTAGAAAAACAAGTGAGGCCTTTTAACCATTTGCTGACCCCAGTGTTAAACCCCCTTCCTGCCCAGGCCATTTTTCAATATTCTGCGCTGCGGTACTTTGATATTTATTCAGTCATGCAACAAACGCTGTACTGAAATTAAATTTATACCATTTTTTAGGGACAGATAGAGCTTTCTTTTGGTGATCATTAGTGAAAACAGTTTTCCCTACTTTATAAAACATTTACTATTACCCAATTTTTTGGTAAAATATTAAAGATGGGGTCACGTCGGGTAAATATACATCAAACATGTCGAACTTTAAAATTGCGTGCGCCCGAGAAATTGCAAAAAACTACCATGCCTAAAATTGGCGACACTTTAAAAGCTTCTACCGCTCATCAGTTTAGTGTTATCAGTGATTGATGACCCTAGAATTAGTGTCAGAATGTTGGGTCTCTGTCAGAGGGGGTCAGCAGGGAAATGACCCAAAGCACATGTCAAAAAGCTCCCAGATATGGTTTCAGACGAAGCGCTGGAGAGTACTCGACTGGCCAGCAATGAGTACAGATCAAAATTCCATAGAGTGGTTGGCGAAAGAAGAGTGGTCCAAAATTTCTGTAGAGAGGTGTAAGAAACTCATTGATGGTTACAGGAAGCGATTGTTTTCGGTTATTTTTTAAAATTATTTATTATTATAATTTTTTCCACGGGCTGTACTTCCAAATATTAAATTGAGGGCCAATTATTTTGTCCAGTCCATTTTCAGGGTTTTGCATAGAATGTGTCAGATTTGGCTTTTCTTTTTCTCCATTTTTTTGTGTCATACCAATACAAACAAAAGAAATAAACATGAGAATGCCGAAACATTTGTAATTACAACAATTTTGTGTGCAAAGTGGTGCATTATCTAAAAGAAATGCAGATGTGCCAATATGTTTGGCCATGACTGCATATCTATGATACACAGGAAGTTTTTTTCATCTCTGCTTTTCTTCACAATGCGTATTCATACATGTAATAGTCTTCTAAGCAAGTAAAACCTAATTCTGCATTTCTCAAGATCTCAGTGCTTGTTAGGGTTGTGTTGTGGGCCCGAGGTGACGAGGAGGACCTCCCTTGCAACCCCGTCTGATGACCACTGGGGTTGAGGACAGTGTGCTCAGGCAGGCGGTGCACGGATGCTGAATGCGGATCCTGGGTCACTTGTGGTGATAGGAGACCTGGCAGAGTAGTCAGCCGTGCGTAGAAGGTGCTGCAATCCAATCGTGATGTCAGGAAACAGGCCGGGTCGGTAACAGGCGGGCAAGCGAAGTACAAGGCAGAATCCAATCGGAGCGTCAAGAGGCAAGCCGGGTTGATAACAGGCGGGTAGCAGGGTACAGAGGGTGAGCCCAATCTGCACCCGACACCGCTGGGTCTCCCCTGGTTCTCCCCCCACCCCGCCCAGAGCCCGCATTCTTTCAGCGGCACCACGGGCAGAGTCCCCTCTCCCCGTTCACAGCCTTCCTCCCCCCTGTGAACGAACTTCCCCAGGCAGCACACCAGCCAGATTCGGGCATACACCACGAGTGCCCCGATCCTCCACACAGGCCGCCCATCTCCTGATCCCTGGATCCACATGTACGTGCCATTTCATTGATTCTCTGCTATATTTTGTCCAATCAGCCAGTGCTCCATTGTTGTTGCGCCCTTTGTGTTCTTTTGTTGATCAGCATACCTACAGAACAGACTACCATCATAAGTGCAAGAAAGCACCCCATTTGAAATGTGGCATGGTTTCAAGCCTAGCATAGGGCACATTAGGGTGTTTGGATGTAAAGCTCACGCCTATACCTACATTCCACAGGAGAAGCGCTCCAAGTTGGAGAAAACAGCCATAGAAGGCATTTTGGTGGGCTATAATGAACAAAGTAAAGGGATGTATAATCCTCCACCCAAAGAATGACAATAATTTGCAGTGTTTATTTCAAAGAGAACCCATTTTCAGAAATAATGGTCCCTGGAAGATGTGAAATGAATTAACGCAGTGAACCAGCAAAGAAACTGAGCCGAGTGAAGCCGCGCAGAAGTCAAAACAAGAGGTGGAATGCATAATGGATAAGTCAAGTCCCTTTTTAAATTCTGCTGAACAGCCTGAAATGAGAAGATCCACTCGAGCGACAAAGGGAATACCCCCCTGCAAGCTGTCATATAGTGCTAAGACACAATGCATACTCAAATCAACATCATGTGAAGACATAAAAAAATTACCAAAACACAAAGCCAATCAATGGAGGAAGGCAGCAGCAGAAGAAGAAATAACATCACTCCAAGAAAATAAAACCTTGACACTCACGGAGCTTCTCCCCAATCGCAGAACTATTAGGGTGTTTAAGGTGAAGCTCGATGCAAAAGGAAATATCCACAAATACAAGGCCAGATTAGTTGCCAAGGGATACTCCCAGAAATTTGGAGAAGACTTCGATGAAACATTCATTCTCGTCTTAAAACACTCCACCATCACAACACTCCTTAGCATCGCAGCCAGGAAGGGCATGCAAGTGAAACACTTAAACATTAAAACCTCTTTCCTATATGGAGACATTAAGAAGGAACCCTACATGGAGTAACCAACAGGGTTTGAGCAAGGACACAATCTTGTGGGTAAACTCCAAAAGAGCATCTAGGGACTCAAACAATCTGCAATAATGTGGAATGAGAAAGTGAATGAAATATTCATGAAAGAGGAATTCACAAGAAGAAAAGCAGATACCTGTATTTATTCCAGGAAATCAAGAAGATAAATGGATATACATCCTAATTTATATTGATGACATTATAGCCTGTTTTGAACAGGAAGAGGACTGTAGTCAATTAGAACTAAAACAAAACTTTGAAATTAAAGAGCTAGGCAACATCTGTCACTATCTGGGAATTCAAATAGGGAAGAAGATGGAAGCTATCTTTTCAACCAAAGTCAGAAAATTGCAGACATTTGGGAACAAATACACAGGGAAGATGCAAAGGAAGTAAAAACACCTATGGAACCAGGGTACCAAAAGAGCAATGAAGCAGAAAACGTTCTACCCAACAGTGACATGTACCGCAGAGCAATCGGAAAGCTACTATACATTGCCACTTTGACAAGACCAGACATAGCGGCAGCACTGGGCATACATTTTACAAAAATTGCAGCACCTGTCAGTGTGACTGGAACACAGTTAAGAGGGTGATACAGTATTTAAAAGGAACAATTCGGGTGAAGCTATAAGTGCCAGCACTGTTAAATGAAACACTAGTTGGGTATGTGGATGCTGATTGGGCCAGAGACTGCACAGACCGCAAATCCACAAGTGGTTACATCATCTAATACAGGGAAGGAAACATAAGTTGGTCTAGCCTAAAGCAATCCCGGAAGGAAACATAAGTTGGTCTAGCCTAAAGCAATCAACTGTTGCTCTTTCCTCAAATGAAGCTGAATACACAGCAGCAGCAGCACACACATGTCAAGAAGCAATATTGATTTGCCAGCTTTTAATGGACATGTGTAAAGACATGTCAAACCCCCTCCCAATCTTTGGTGACAACCAGCTGTGTATAAAGTTGTCACAATCAGAAAGGGTCAACCCTAGAACCAAGCACATCGACGTGAAGTATCATCTGCTAAGAGACACTCAAGAGCAAGCTATTCTGGACATGCAATATTGCTCATCAGAAGAAATGACTGTGGATGCAGCACTCACCAAGCCATTGTCAAAGGATCATCACATTTTCCTTCAGACAAAGCTGAATTTCATATAGCAACGCATTTGCTGTTGAGAATGGGTGTTGAAAATACAACATAATAGACTATTGTGATATGTCTTTTGAGCTGTAGATGGTGTTGTAGTGCAATGCTAGTCTCTATGTGCATGCTTATCTATGATACACAGGAAGGAAAAAAGAAATGGATGAAATGTTTTTTTCACAATGCTGAATTCACACGTGTAATATTCTTCTAAGCAAGTAGAACTTAATTCGGCATTCCTCAAGAGCTCAATGCTTCATTGTAATGCATAATTAACAATTTTGAGTCTTGGGGCTGCCCCCTTCAATCTTGCTGCTCTAGGCGCCAGCCTGTGAGTGCCTTGTGGTAATACAGCCCTTATTATACACATACCTGTACATTTATATTTTATGTTGATTTTTGTTTTTTTATCTCAGCAAAGAAAATTATCTGCGCATCATTAATAACACAAACACAGCTGGTTGCATGAAGAAAATAAGACTTATTTTATTGAAAATTGAGTAGGTGACAAGGACAAGAGAATCATGATCAAAATTCAGCAGATTACATCAGTAGTACACCAGAATATGTATAGTCACAATCATCCTAAAACAATCTAAATAACCAGTCTAGGTCTCAGTGTATCCACCACATTAAAATGATGCATACTGCATGCTAATGCTCCATTAATATATACAAACGTAGACAATACCAACATGTTTCTAACATATGATTACAAAAATGTTATTACAATTAATAGAATGTCTGTATAAAACTTGTTCTGGAATATGTTAATACAACTGCCTGAAGTCTCAACAGACAAAAGAAGAGTTCCACTTTGATTAGGCATGCTTTTATGTATGCATTCACATACCATTCACTATTTTAAACATTTCTATAGGCAAACCTCAAGGTGCTGTGTCTGGAATAAGTAATTTTGGGTCCTATTAATAAGAAAGTCCACAGCGAAGCAGAAATAGCAACAAATCAGATCCTTACACTGATCGGCCTGGTTCATATTTGTACTCATTTGGCACATAATCATTGTACTTTGCTTCACTCAGATGGTGTAACATAATGAGTAATTCTGAATTAATTGCGCAAACTGTCTAGCAACTCTTTTTTGCTATAAGGGCTGACTCACACTCACACTTTATTGTGCATAGGGATACACGATGTTACCGCAGCACATTTCTTTTGAATGGGCCCTCAAAGTAGGTAAAATTGCATGTGCTTTATTTTTCTGCAGCAAACCGCAGTGGACAAAGTGCACACCTCATCATGGTGTGCAGCGGTGTGGTCTAAAGCAGGTGCCTCCTGTACAGTACAAACATTGGTGTGCCATCCAAAATGAATGAAGTTTTGACCAGCACCCCAAAGGAGTTATGAAATTATGATGCAATGTTAACATTTGAAAAATACCGCCTATTATTGTCACACAATGATCTGATTGAGCCCTATAGGTATTAAAAGTGCTCCAAGAAGACAGAAATAAAATGGAATATTTTGCGCTCAAGCACAATGCAGTCCCCAAAAATATTGTTCAGTAGACTAAAATATCTTCATTCATTATGGATCTTTTGAAGTGATTAAAGACCAGGACTCCATACCTTCCATAAGCCGTAGGTCAACGTGTTGAAATTGAGTGATTAACTTCAATAGTATATCACCAACCTATAGAGATGAACATGTCCCTAACTAATCCAAAACCTTGCATAATTTCAATTGTGTCTACTGTGTATGGATCTGGGTGGATCTTGTTCATGTCCCGTGCCAAGTTTTGCCTAGATGAAGCAGATCCATGAAGCCGCATAAGAAGAAAACAGAGAAAGACACCAAAAGACTTCTGGAGACAGGGTAATACTCTCATACACAGGGTTTCTCCAGAAGAGTCAAAACCACATTAGCATACACTATGATGATGATTACTGTGGCTAGTCACATGGTGAGTTTTCATTGTGTGGTGAGATCCTGAAAGTAGAAGATAAGATATTTAAATGAATAAGTAATCAAGATCACAATATAAAGGACTGCAAATTGTCTATGTTTCTCATATCTTTCCACCAGATTCCAATTAATATTAAAATTGTTATATAATTAGTCAGACTGAAAAAAAAAACATATCCACTGAGGTAAAAAAAGGACAGAGAAAAAAAAATTAAACATATTCTCGAAGTCCTGAACCTGCACCATTACCCCCCTCCCAGCAACAGCCATAATGCGAGAGGATATAAAAAAATACGTATTATGTATGGTCCAATTTTCTTCCTGAGCCCTAGAAAATTGGATTAGTGAGGCTTTTCACCCAGGATTCCTCCTGAGTTTGCAAGAGGTTCCAAAAGCAGTGGAGAATCGATTAATCCCCCCCCCCACCCCCCCCTCCTCTGAAGGTATATGAATAATTCCAGAACCAAGATTACTCAGCAGAGACAGTGGAGTGGCACCACTGGAGCCTCTTTAGTTTCTCAATAATCTCTTTAAAATGTATGTCGAGCCAAAACCTTTTTTTTCCGCTCTCTGTAGAATATGGAAGTGTTAGACTTTCTGTCTGGGAAAACTTGCTACTGGGACACTAAATGAGGGAAACATATCTAACGGAATATAGGATAACAGTAAAAACAGTTAAAAAAGCTGGATATTTGCTCTCTGACAGGTGGGCATTCTTAGACCATCAGCTTAAGGAGAACTACATTTTAGGGGGGAGTTCTTCTGCTACTGACACCAATGTATGAGGACACTTTCACAATGACTACTAACTAACTACTTAGGTGGTCCTTCTCATTGACCAACAATGTATAAGGGTGACTTTTTAACTGACCACCAACATCAGGGACATTTTTACTGTGACCACTAATGCAAGGGGGCACAATACTGACTAACAGTGTAAGAAGGCCCTTCTCCATTGACTCTAGGCATGACACAATCTTATGGTTTAAGAATATCCTAGTTATGACTTTTGTCTTATTGTTATTATCATATCTACAAGCTGCTTATCATGCTTATTGACCAAGATTAGATATACTGAGACTTAAAAAATTTGTATTTGATAAAAATTAATTTTAGTTTGGAAAATAAAGTATACAGTATAGAGTATGACTGCTGAAAGTGGAATGCCATTTTGATGGAAGTCAAAAAGATCGCGTGGCTACAGGGTTTTCTACAGGGTGCCAATAGACATAGCCCTGCCTATAATACTGCGGTGTCTAAATGCCACTAATGCTCCAGCAATGGTTTGAAGTTGTCCTATATTTTACATTCTGGTATCACTTTAATCTTATTTTTATTATCATATCTACGAGGTACTGATCATGCTTATTGACTAAGATTAGATATACTGACACTTGCATTTTTTTTTTTTAAATAAAAGGTCAAGTAAGGCTGCCCCTGTGTATGGTAATTGAAAATGTAATAAGCCTTTTATGTTTTGTAGCTTTACAAAAGCACCCAACCTTTTTTTGGAAAGAGTCTACAGCTAGAACCTGTTACTCTTGTTCTTTTTAACCGCTATTACTGTAAAAAAAACACTTTTTCTGTTTTGGAATACTCTGGGTCATTCTTGGACCAAGGCCTGCCATTTGCAAATGGTAGAGAGGGAATAGCAAGGTTGCTATTGAATCAGTAATAATATTGCCTCTCTGAATGCAGTTTGTCCCATAGTGCATAACAAAAATCACCGTATACCATGCAAATATTATGGAACACAGAAGCTCATCTCATAACTACATTTGGAAAAATAAAAGTATATAGAGTATGACTGCTGAAAGTGGAATGCCAATTTCATAGAGATAAAGAGACCAGAGGCCTTTTAAAGGATTTGCTACAGAGCGCCAATAGACATAGCCCTGCCTATAATGATGCGGTGTCTAAATGCCATTAATGCTCAGCCAATAGTTTGAAGTTGTCTTAGAAAAATGTCCAGAATGTAAAATATAACAGCTGATGCACTGCCACTTAAGTAATATAAGTTTACGTACCATCACTGCCTCCCAGAAATTTATGACTTGAAGTGCTAAAAATGAAAAAACACAGTAGAGATTAATTAAAATATACATTGTATTCTAAATAGGTCAAATTTGATGGACTGTTTGGTCCTAAGCTTATATCTGTATTTTGGTGTTCTAAACCTGATCTGATTGCTGAATTATACATCAAACACATTCGGACATAAGCATTATTTCTTTACTTTTTAAGATATAAGGTGAATAGGTATTGCTAAAGATTGAGACCTGCATATTTGACAGAATATTTGTTTAGTTGCTTTTCTTGTATGAAATACATACTGGATATCATGACCGTCCAATAGGCGCTTATAGGTGGCGATCTCCATCTCCAGGTGTGTCTTTTGGTCCATTAGGATCCTGTATTCCTGGTTCTGACGTTCCAGGTCAGAGCGTACCTGTGCCAGCTGGGACTCTACACTGTTGATCAAACATTGTAACTGGGCAAGTTGGGCTCCAAATGTGGCTTCCGTCTCTGCCAAGGTGTTCTCCAGAGCAGATTTCTGAGAAAGGAAATAGAAAGATTGTATACAAGTACATAGTGATAGTTTTGCAAATGAAGGGAAGCAACTTGACCTTGATACAAACCTTATTAGTTGGCTGGTAATAATACTTACCATGCTCATTTGGCTTTGCAGTTCGATCTCCAGGGTTTGGACGGTGCGATTCAAGTCAATGACTTCGGTCTGTACAGATTGGAGTTGTTCAGAACCAGAAGCAACGTTACGATTCAGTTCCTCAATCTATATGAATAGAAAGCTGGTTAGAGTCATGTACCCTTTAATGTATGAAGGATGATTTATATGTAGCTTTATTTATGAAGCACAATACATTTCAGTTTTGTTCTTGTGAAAACATATTCTTATATTTTAAATATAGTAAGTCTTAATAAGGGGATTTGTACTATTCTAGCCATAAAGCCCAACTGTACTGTGCTCCAGTCAAAAATGCTCATGCTCCCTGAACAGGAAGCATGAGCGGGACTGCTTGATGAGAGTATTTCTGATTGTGCAGGGGCTATTGCACACCTCTAGAGAGCTCTGCTTGAGAGTAGTGGCCCTGATCTTCAGTGTGAAGGGGCATTTGGGATGGTGCTGGAGTGCTAGTGTTAGGGTGCTAAAACATGTAACCTTTCAATTCTTTTGTCTGACTTGTCTAAAATGTAAAAAACAAATGTACAATTAAGTATTAAAGCCAATTGTGTTTTTATTAACTGTTTTTAATAGTACAAAACCATGACATAATAGTGCCTAATGGACATGTTATTTTTCAGGTTTAACAAGCTGTTTTAGTCTACAAAAGACTTACCCTTTGTCGGAAAATAGTTTCCACCTCTCTCAGATTCCGTTCCATTAGGTTCTCATACTGCTCTCTAATTTCAGATAAGGCTCTATTCATATCAGCCGATGGAGCAGCATTCATTTCCACACTGACCCTGGCACCCAGCTGAGCTTGCAAAGCATTGACTTCCTGTCAATAGAAATGTTGGAAATCAGTAGTATAATGGTGGATGCATTTTTGGCGATCTGCATAATGTGTTGTTTAGGGTCTGTTCTTATAGGCTTTGGGCTTATGTCGAGTGGCAAATGCAGTCTGCTGTTAGGTGTACTAGGGATTGGTTTGAAAGACTTCAAATACACTTGTCAATGAACTTAACTGATCTTAGAACTATAGTTGACCTGCTGTCATTCTTATTGTACCTCACATTGATTTTTTTAGAATGATTCTTAAAGTAGATGTAAACCCAATCAATTAAACTTCATATGATCTTTAATATGCAAATGTAATTCTACATGTCATTTTCAGACTTAGTCTGAGCTAACACTGACAAGGTTGCACAGCCAAAATCTGTCTGGAATGGGGACAGGTGAGCACAACCTAACAGGGTTATTCACAAAAGGGTGAAGAGTTTGGAGAAGGCAGGAGAAGTAAGCAATCTAGGCCAACATAGCTGAACTAAAAAGTGAGCTGAATTGGAGAATTTTTCCAAATCAGCTATTTTTATCTAGATTGTTTACTTCTCCTGCCTTCTCCAAACTCTTCACCCTTTTGTGAATAACCCAGGAAATAATTAGTCTAACTGCACCAAAAGTGATGAATATAAAGATATATCTGAGGCTCGGTCCTCCTTTTTTGTTCTCAAATAAAAGAGAATCTGGACAGAGGTTTACCACTGAAGGCAGCATCTTTAAATAGTTTTCTACAATGTGCAAGGACTGTTGTGATCCACAATGTTCTTCTATGGATTAGGAGATTTCTATGGATTAGGAGGTTTAAAAGGTGTCAGTTTATCATTTTCAACAGATGTCTCTAGAAAGGCAGCATAAGCCTAAATAAAAGTGATGTCTGCTTTGTTTCAAGCTGCTCTGTATCAATAAATTATAAATAAATACATTTCTGGTTTAGCTCGAAAAGGATAGTAATCTTCTCACCTCCTCATGGTTCCTCCTCATTTGCTGCAGTTCCTCCTGAAGGTTTCCTACTTGTGCCTGCAGATTACATATGTCCCGATTCAGTTCTTCCAGGAGTAGACGAAGTCCATTCACATCAGCCTCAACACTACATCTCAGCTGGCGTTCCATTTCATACCTGGTGACAAAAGGAAGACAAAGCAATGAATACTATTGCTTTAAAGCAGTAATAAAGATGAAAAGCATGAAATATAGAGAGGCCTACTTGTTTCTGAAGTCATCTGCTGCCAGACGAGCATTGTCTATTTGTAATGTAATACTTGCATTGTCCAAAGAAGTTGAAGAAATCTGAAAAACATATGTGTTAAATATTTATTGCAAATGATAAATTCATACATTGTATTAAATTGAACTTTGTTCTGTACTGGTTGAGGTGGTTTACTGCATATCTATTATGGCTTGGTATTGTAACATGGCCATTTTCAGTCTCTATTCTATATGCATTATGTATTTAAAGAGGCCCGTTACCCGACTTTTGCTTTCAACATCAATATTCCCATAAGATTATATATGCAGTTATATATTACGTATGTAATTTATCTGTAAAAGCTTATGTAGAGATCCAAACACCCTGAGACTGCTGCTGGGCACTGCCATTGTGGATATGATGTCTGCAGGCCCAACGGACTCAGAGCTGTCACTCAAGTGACATTCTAAAGAAGTCCCCTTTGCTCCTTCCCCAGCAGCTACAAAAAAAGGTTATGCAGGGAAGGGCAGAGGAGTTTTGCCATCACAGACAGTAATTAGACACTCCCAGAAGGGGGCTATGCAGGAGGGCTCCTCCATACCAGGAAGTAACAGGCATATTTTCGACCCCCAGCAATGGAATGCCAAAGCAGGGAAGAGAAGGAAAGTAAGTACATGCTGTGAAGGGGGATAATATAATTCCAGATAATATATATATATATAAATGGGGAAAGGAAAACTTTTAAATATATACTAAGTAATTAAATTAGTATTTCATGGTGAGTCCCCTTTTATTACTTGGAACAAGAAAAGAAAAACCCCAGAAGAGGAGATCTCACCATTCCTCCAAATATGCAACAGTGTTGGTAATTTGTAATTTGTTAGACTCTATTTTATCTTATCGGCGCGTTGTTTGTCCTGGACTGCCTCGGCTATGGACACACCTGTCTAAAAGAAATGACACTTTGAGGCATAAAAAGAGAAAGAGAGAAACCCCTTCTGAAAACTCTTCTGACAGAACGTATCCAGGGCTGAACATACTTTCATAGTGCAACTCCAAGCTTGCTTGATATTGTCCCTGTTCCACATCGGCTTAATAACATCAGGAGGTTGAACCACAGGGAATCCACATAAGGGAAAACATATACTCAGTGCCGGCATTCATCATTTGAAATACACACAGGCTCTATAAAGGAATAGTCATATTCCGCCCAAGAATATCCTTTCTTGCCGCTCTACAAATTTGCTAGTTTTTTACCTGTGGACATACAACAGTGGACCTCCTTCACCAATCCTTTGGATGAATGGACAAAAGCAAGTGTGAGTGCATTCTACTTATTCTAATATGATGAAAAGTAAATATCCTTTCTAAATATGTTTTTGCCATTCTCAATTGCGGGACTAAAATCTCTCTAGCCTCAGAGACACATATTGCTCCTTTGCGGATAGTTCACACTCTGACAAAGCAAAATTTTACTACAGGGGTGCACCGATCACTTTATTTGTTTGTTGAACATAATCTCACTCAGCCGAGTGCTCTCCTATGTAAATGTTTAATGTTTGTGTGTGTTTTGATACATGTATTTCTATGAATTAAAAAAAAAAAAGATAACATAGAATCTAATAAATTACATTTTACAGACACTGTTGCATATTTGGAGGAATGGTGAGATCCCCTCTTCTGGGTTTTTTCTTTTCTTGTTCTGGATAATATAATTCCTGTTGCTTTGTTCTGATTTATCAAAGTGTAGGTTTGATGTAAAGGGTCAGTCTACTTAAATAATTATACTGATCTTTGCAAAAGCTAAAAAGTGTTTTGAGCTCTGCTATGAGTTACCAGAACTGCACTCCTGATTAAGTCATTATGATGAAGTCACATCCAACCTGCTGGATTGTAACAGACTAGATATGACCTATCGGAATGCAAAAAAAAATGCGAAAAGTCTAAGATTGGTGAAAACACAACCAGGAATTTTGGCATGCATACATCAACACTTCCCAAGAAAATTTTTTGATCCCTCCTTTGATATAACCTAGTATGCAAGTACCTCTATAACTGCATGTGTCTGCTGACAACTTTAGCTACTTCACATTTCCTTGTGTTATATATAGACTGTTGACTATCCCTATGCAGCTCTCCAAGGACATCAAATTTGACTGAATATTGTAAAGAAGCTAAGCTGTTTTTTTATTGTAAATAGGTGAGTATCTATAATGCTGTATATAATGAATACAATATTTGTGTAGATTTGGTGTTCATAATAAAATAATTATTTCTGCTGTCAAAATATCTAATATTAATGTTTACAGTGTCTGACTGCTCATCTATCCAATGTTTTACATGCTTGGCATGAGGATTTAACATTAAACAGTCGGTAATCTGCTTGGAAAACATTAGGCAACTGTAAAACAACTTCAAAATAATTAATTTATTGCTGTCCAGCTCATTAGAAACTTTTGCACACCTCACCCCAACAGTATAACAATAAAGGAAAAGATGATTGACTTGGCTGAACACACCTTAAATAAAACATTCGCAAATGCAAAATCATAATCATACACTATTAAAAAAAACGTTAATCACAGTATGCAGTTGGTCTTAAACTGGACACAATAGACACAAAGCATCCCATTTTCTTTTCAGTTTGAGGTCTGCAAATATAGCAACAGTGATAGAGTGTGAGTTCCTACCTAAACATTATTTTCAGTGTATATCTAATTAGGTAGCCTTTGCATTTACCATCTGCTAAATCTTAATTATCTGTCATAATAGCATTTCTCTATTCCATACAATATGGAAGAATAGGGGGAAGTATATAATATTTTTGCAGGCAAATTGTGTTACAACAAACAGTATACAACACCAAAGAAAACAAGATGGAAAAAAAGGATTGCAAAGCTAGATCAAGGCCACACTTCAAGGAATATAATTGGACCTGCAAATTTATTGAGGTAATTGTCTGTTTAGTGTTTATGTCACTGAATGTGCACAGGCTGTGTTTTTGCTAATTAGAGGATTCAGCCCGCTCTGCAGGGCCACTGGGAGATTTCAGCTCTCATGAAGAGAGTGAGATACCTGGGTGACCACATCTAGGAAAATGGCCAAAACAGTGATCTGTTACTGGACCTCTATCTTGCTTTGTCCCTAACACCATGTTCAAACATAGGAATGCTCATAAGTTTGCCTGCTAAATATTTCTGTTGTCCACTATTGTAAAGTGTTAGGCAGATAAGCACAAGTGAAAATGGATTTACATTTTGTACTGAGCAGAGCATGTTAAGGCCCAAGAGAACCCAATGTGAGCATTACCCCAAATTTATCAAGCTGCAATAGCATGCCTTAATAATCTGAATGGGTCGCATCCAAGGTTTCAGTTTTAAAATTAACCATCAAATACTATACCCAACAGAGCAATTCCAAGAAGGTGGTAGCAAAACAAAAATCTGCAGAAGCAAAAATTTGGATCTGGTACCATTTTGGAGAGGCTATAGTCAAGAATTGGTGGCTCAAATGATGTTCTGGTAAATTGTTCAGCAACTGAGTATGGCTAAGCAGAATAGATTCCAGATTGTGCTGAACAAGACTGGGGAATTGCTGACCACTATTATACAGCTGAGCAGTTGGCCACAAGTCTCCTCCCCATCCCGTGAGGCACATTGAGAGGAGTACATGATCCACAATGACAAATTCCCTCCTTCCCCATTCAAGTGTGGTGCCCAAATAGGCCACAAACCTGTTCACATGAGGTCGCCCAGGGCCGACCTTAGGCCTTTAGGCGCCCTATGCAAGAAAGCTTTACACACACCCCTGACCACACCCCTCAGTAACCACACCCTTCAGTTGCCACGCTAATTTCTCCAATACCCGCACCATTTAAAGACTCCCATTTTGTTAAGCCCTAAAAAAACAGATTAAAAAGTATGATAAAAATAAAACTTTTATTCAAAGGTATTAAACTTGTAAGCAAAATATAAATATTCTTATTAAATAAAACAACATTAGGCAAACAAGTGGCAAACAATAAATGTAAAACTAAAATAGAGTCTATAAAAAATAAAGTGTCAGGCTGTCATTCCGATCCCTTTTTTCAAGTAAGTGTATCTAGAAAAGTAAAAACAAAGAAATAGAACACAAAACCTAAACTACATGTCTACATGTTAAATTCGGTGAAATCTCTGGGGTCTAAACAGGACCCTGACATTTCCCTTTTGAAATAGAAAAAGAAATCGAGGACACAGAGTCCTCAATCTCTTTTTCTTCAGCCCCTGTTATGAATTAATGGAATGCACTCGGTACAGAGGCTTCCCATTCATTCACAGGAGATATTAAATATTTACTATCAACCAGTTATGAATGGATAGAAGTCTCTGTACTGAGCTGCTTCTACCCATTCAGAAACTCATGAATGAACAAAAAGTGATGTAAAGCCCCCTCCCCCCTTGATGGCTTCAGCGCTCCACTTCTCCTCAGATCCCTGCTGCCTTTGCCCATACAGACCGGGGAGAGCAGTGGGGATCCGAGGAGAAGCACCAAGCTGTGCCACCCCTCTATTTCCTGCCGCCTTGAGGCCGAACTGTGTTGGCCAGCTGGTGCCCCTGTTGCCATGGCTCCCTGTGCGGCCGCACAGCTCGCACACCCCAAAGGCCGGCCCTGAGGTTACCTACCTCAGACCTTCCTGCAAAACTGAGATGTAACAATCGGCCATATCTCTGTCCCTCTGGGGCACCAAGCGAAGGCTCTGCCCTCCTGCGCACCAAGCGAAGGCTCCGCCCTCCAGGGCTGGCTAGATGGCATGTAGCAGGGGCTCATTGCGTATATAATGTGCATGCTATGGCAGGAAGAGCACTGAAAGAGGAGGATAAAGTGGCAAATAAAGAGCAAATTCAACAAATATGCTGAAAGAGGAAGAGGTGAAACTGGTGCTAGGGAACCACACCAATTCAGGCACAACGTCTCCATCAAGGAACTGGAGCAAAGACAAAAGCTTAATAGTGTTTGTCACACTACACGTGATTTATAATAAGGAATACTATATTAACGCTACATCTTTTGGTCTTCTTTTCTATACATCCCAAGATTTTCTTTGTTCCCCCAGTTGTTTTCCATTTAATGTATATGGGGTACTGCTATTATCCAGACAGACCATATTCTAAACTATATAAACAAGATGTCACCAGCAAACCATGGAAATGTGTCCAAATTAACGTGTTTATTGAGGTATGTTCATAATAGAAGTCACCAGCACTTGATGAGGTCACTATGTCGCCCAGAAGAAGGGACCCTGCGTGGCCCCGAAACGTTGGCTGTATGACGCATGTGACAATTTAATAAAAAGTGCTTTACTTCTTGCATACATCATCAAGTGCTGGTGATTTCTATTATGGACTGTATCTGACACGGCGCCATCCGTGTTGTCACTTCAAGCACCAACCTTTCATCAAGGTCTGTATGCTGTATGGAGTGCAGGTGATTTCGTATTATCTATTGAGGTATGTTGTCACAGATAAAGCAACGTGTTGAGGCCATGCAGGGTCTCCTTCATACTGAGCCTGTTGAAGGGACCCTGCGTTGCCCCAAAACATTGTTGTATCTGTGACAATATGCATCAATAAAGACGTTTGTCTGGACACATTTACATGGTGTGCTGGTGACGTTTTGTTTTTGTGTACACCAACATCCGTAGTCACTTCAGCACCCATCCTCTAAGGGGCTTTCGGTAAGGAGTGTGGCAGAATACCAGCTACACCATAAAAAGAGACAGCCCCACCATGCACAGCCATGCAGCTACAGTAAACCTTAGCTGTTGCGGTTACTGTCAGTGAAGGTAATCAGTAATTGAGTGCAGTCAGTGGTGGCACTGAGTAGAGTGCAGTCCGTGGTGGCACTGAGTAGACTGACATCTCTCCATCAATTTCTGCCTTGTTTCAAAGCGCACTCAGTACAGGGAAAGTATGCAGAAATGTCACTTTGCCAGCACCAGCCAACTAAGTGCACACATACCTTCTAGACTGTAAGCAAAGTGGGGTTTCTTTTACTGACACCAGCATCAGTAAAATTTAGAAATGAATCCCCATATTTGTGGCACTAAGCTCATTTTTGAAGGTGCTCAAACACAACCAAAACTCATAGTGCCATACCTGGTAACAGAAAACTGTGCTTTAAAATGACGAACAGTTTGGAGCACAACATATATTTCTAATGTTAAGTTAAACTAACCTGACATAGTTTCCTATGTAACTTTATGACTCACAATTCTTTATCGCTTTCAAGTGTATTGACGCTTCTTTGTTGGTCTGATTGGAATCATTAGGGTGGTGCAACACTTACATTTTCAGGTATTTCAACACAATTATGATAAAAAGACTGTCAGATGATCAGAGCTCTAAATGAGCATGAGCTTCTCTGATGTTTCCATTATACCCAAGCAGAACATTAAGTTATTTGAAATTGCAACAATTTACAAAACATTTGCACAATTAAAGCAAAATTGCTTTGTATCTGTAACTCCCATGATGAACTATAAAAGAAGACACATGCACATACTAAACATCGTCTTCAGAGCAAGATACATCTGAATACCTCAATATACCTCAGATAAAAACAACCACCCAACTTGACCACCATGAACCACAGCCAGCACAAGCAGAGTCTTTCTTCTTCTACCTCTTTTAAGGCAAGTGTTCCTGTAAGGAGCCACTCTCCCAAACTCTCCGTTCATCATGGAATTTCACATTTTTCACATCATGGAGGATATCATAAAGTTCACCACACAGCCCATAATACCCACGGGGGATCAAGTAAGCCAATTATGTTTTCAAAACACTCTTCCTTCCCTCATGGATATGGCTATGGAAACGTACATGGTGTTCATAATAATGACAGTCACTTTAATAGCATCGGGAGCCACAGTAGCTGGAAGAATGATGGTTTTCTCAATGTCAATGAGAAGGAAACCATGCAGCTCCTTAATGACCGACTGGCAACCTATCTAGAAAAGGTTCGCTCTCTGGAACAAGAAAATGCCCAAATGGAGAAAAAGATCTGTGAATGGCATGAGAAAAATGTCCATTCATCAATGCCCGATTTCCAACACTACTACAAGACCATTGAAGAACTTCAAAACAAGGTGAGTAAGACATTTTACATGTATATTGTAGAGGAATGTGTCTTATGTTTCTTGCCTGTAAAGCATTCTTCAAAATTATTTTTTCGTTTCATATATTCGAATGATTGAATAGATCTCCGCAACATCTCTGGACAATGCCAGGCTAGTTCTAGAGATAGATAATGCAAGACTGGCTACTGATGACTTCAAGAACAAGTAAGTCAGCTGCTCTTTTTGACTTAAGTATTTTTAGTTTGCTGATTTTATAAAGTAGTTCTGTAAACTTTGAAAATTCGTTTCTTTTATAGCAAGTAAAGAGGTTTACGCTAATTAGGACAAAACATTTTTGTTTAAGATAGGGCAGGGGAGGGTTATAGTCACTATTTTAGGGTTTGTTGGGGCTGCCTATGTTCATATTGAGGAGATTTGCCATAATTTCCTGTAAGGAAAGGAAATCTTGAAAAATCCCTATAATGAGGACACATAAAAAAAAGTTTTTAGTAGAGAGAGAAAGGATTAGAGTTTCTGAATTGCTTTATTTCTCTCATAGTAACAACTTCTCCCTGTGGTTCTTGTCCTGTTTTCACAGAGACAGGAGGTTAAAAATGGCCATACACTTCAGAATACCTGAACAGTCACTGCATTCAATTTGCTGCAGTCAATGTTCAGCTGACAATTTTTCATCCAACTCCAAGTGAAAGATTGACTGCGTGTGATCTGGGTGGTGCCAGCAGGACCACCAATGGATTGAATGTTAGCTGATTCAGCACGAATCGAACAAAATTCAACCAGTGTATGACCAGCTTAAATCTTTCCAATCAGGTCACAGGCATAAATCAAAACCTTGCAGAAATGTTCCTATTACTATTCCATTTAACCCAAATGAATGTGGAGAACGTGTTTCACTTGCATTACATTATTTTGACGTAGACAATTCTCAATAGTTGTTTTAGATACAAGGAGATTCATGCATTAGTATTTTGCACCCTCCGTTTTGCCCTAAAACCACCAACCACAATGATTTTTCTAGATTCCATTTGTTTTTCAAATCAGGTTTTATCCAATTAGTAGTCATTGGGAAACAGCAGTAGTTCTTACAGACATGCTAAAAATAAAGCCCATAGAACTACATAGTTCAAGTTTAAAGAAACCCTGGGGGATTAGGGTTTAGTTGGGCATGAAATATGCCAGAAGAAGCTTGTGTGCCCAATGAAAGGAAAGTTTAAGCTGGTGTTGAAACGGGATCTGAGATTGAACCAGCCTGCATATTCAATATTATATGTTTAATTCACTGTCAATTCTTTAATCCCATCTCTAAGATATGAGCTGGAAATCAGGCTGAGAACTTTTGTGGAGAATGACTTGAAAGGACTGCGTATGGTTCTGGAAGGCCTTAATATAGAGCGAGGTGACTTACAGGTTCAACTGGAGTGCCTGCAGGATGAAGTGTTGCAGATGAAGAAGCACCACGAAGAAGTAATTCAACCATTTCAACAGTTAAACATCAGAATAAATTATATTAGTGCTGCAAATACTTAATAATGTTCCAGACCCTTATGTAATGTGTAGATTGAGGTATGGTAAACGGTATGATAGAAAGTACTTCACACTATACTAGCTGCAGCCTATGCCTGGTCTGCAGTTGTCTTGTACTTGTACTTCTCTTGTATCTGGACATGCATGGTCCCAATGGAGAAGCTGTCTGCTTGGTATTTGGTAACCTTCTCTGCACAGTATGCCTTAGTCAGTGTAGGTGGTCAGTAGTGTAAATAGGGGTATATATATATGATGGGAAAGACAAAAGGGACAGTAGGCCTCTACATGCTTAAACAGTACTATTAACTTTTAAAGTAAAACTGTCTTGAGAAAAACATGGACATTTCTGACCTCTTTATCTGAGAATGCTAGTCACTGGACTGTTATGCTGAACCTCTGGGTCACCGACCTGGAGCAAGTCATAAAGATAAGGGCTTTCAACTTTTTTCTGACTTCCTTCATCTGGTATTAAGTTCTGGGTCTCTGACTCAGAAAATAATGACGTTGGTCCACATAACAACCAGACCAGTAGCATTTTCAGAAGAAGGTCAGTAAAGCCACTCCTCCTAATAACAGGTTTAATTCAAGGTTCCAGATGTTCTCTTGTTGAAAATCAGTTGAAGATATTGTTCTAACCTGTCTCTGATAGGCACATTGCTGAGCCCTTCTTGCTTTTATCAGAAACAAAAGGAACCCAGACAAGAAATTTCACCATAACCATGTAGTTGCACAATAGGAAAAATAACATTAACCATAATCATTTCAACTGATTCCACCACCTAGTAGCAGAATTAGTAATCCAGTATGCTATATGAGAATAGATGTTGCATCTATGTCTGTATGCACAACATGTTAACATTCCTATACATTATTGTGAATATACATTTCGCCCTTAAAGGATGTGTCTTCTCTGCGAAACCAACTGGGTTCCAGGATCAATGTTCATGTGGATGCCGCACCATCAGTTGACCTCAACAGGGTCCTGTGTGAAGTCAGAGAGCAATATGAAAATATGATGGAGAAGAACTTGAAGGAAGTTGAGAGCATTTTTATTCTCAGGGTAAGTCCTCCTTAGTTCTATGAACTTTATAAAAGCTACTTGAGCTTCATTCATTTCTGTATGGCTTGATTTATCTTTTATTCTTTTAGAGTGAGGAACTGAACAGGCAGATGGCTTCTGGATCTGAACAGCTGCAGTCAGTTCAGACTGACCTTATTGATCTGAAGCGTTGTTTGCAAACCCTTGAGATTGAGCTGCAAAGTCAGCTGAGTATGGTATGTAATGTAGTTTATGGTCTAGCATACTTTTTCATATTGATTCTCTAATTAAAGCAAAGCAAAGCCCCCCTAGAAATCATTATAAAGTATTTATAGGGAGGGTTGACGTTGTTTTGTGGGATTCCAACCTGTCACTGCATTGAGTATTTCTTTTCCCATGCCAGTTGCCTGGTATAAAGTGTGCTTTTCCTAGTATATGTGTTCCTATGTGCAAAATCAACTCCACACAGTTCATTTCTTTTTTTTGGACACTAAGGCTAGCTATGCACAAGTTTATTTTTTCTCATTCAGTCCGCTCTCAGAATTCCCCCACCGCAGTGTGTGTGGCGCTATCAGAATAATCAAACAGTGAGTGCAGCTGATTGACCAAGATTTTTTTAGACCGGCAACTTCTAAAAAAGTAAAAAAATAATCTTTTTTCGAACAGAGGGGTCGCACTGGGACGAGTTCTACTGACTTGGCCAACATTAGACCAGTGTATGGCTAGCTTAATGCTGTGTTGTTTGCATTGTCCTGTGTTATCTGGAAATATAGATATTTCCAGAGTATCTCAAAATGAAATGGGTATAGCCAGTTGGCTAGGACTACATTGGAGCCCTACAATCTCTACAGTGGAACAAATCAACCATACTGACTGTCCCATACCAGTTATGAATTCCTATTTATAGTGGTAGCAGGAGTTTGACCTCTTGGACTACAATAGGTTTGTCTTTAAGATGGTATGCTATTTTAAGAGTGGCTGTTCTTGGGCAAAGTGCTTTAATGTGGAAGTCAGGACATCTTCTGTAGCAATCCTTACCACTAAGCAATGGGCCATACTGTTTCCATTACATAACATCAGTTTTTAGCCCCAATGTGGGTAATCGTTCCTCTACTGTTTTTGGCATTGCTATAAAATAGCAGTAATTCTGTCACTCCTGAAGTCAGCATGGCTCAGTAGAGGTTAACCTACAGCAAGATAAGTTACTCTTTAGCTCTCCTTCAACCCTTAGAGGATGAATGGCAGCCTAGTACCTCACTGTGACATATATTGAGTATTTTGCAGAGTAAATGTTCCCCAAGTATTATGTGACTACTGTATATCATATATAACTAACTACAAAATCTGAAGGCAAACGTTCTCCAGGGCTGCATCTTTTAAGCCGAGCCTCAGAATCATGTGACCCTTTTATACTTTAACTATTTTATTAGAAAGGGGAGATATTTATTGAATGTACAGAACTAAGTCTTTATTCTAGAAGCTTGAGATCCACTTACAATTACCGAAAGAGTCAAAACAGCATTAGCAAGATGAGAAGGGCTCAAATGTAGATAACCAGCATGGGTGTTCTGCTTGTGCTCCCTTGTCATTAGTGTGATTACCCTGATAATAATTCTAGTCCTATACACAGGGCCACCATTAGCAATCATGGAGCCTCATAAGCCTATCTGGCAGGCCCTCCCCCTTATGTGTTCATTCAAATTAGACAGCTGGGGCAGCAGGGTTAGTTTTACATTTATTTAAATGTTTTATTTAATTTTTTTTATTGACTTTTGTCAATCCCCTATGTGACAGCATTTGGAGTGGAAAGTTCATTATGGAGACATCTGGGGTCCATTAGACCCCTGATGTCTCCCCTGCCCTCCAATACAGACGATCACGCAAACGATAGTGCTTGATCATCTCTTTTACCCATCACTTCAGCAATGTTTGTGACAGCTCTGAAGCAGGAAGACCTGAGAGCATAGTGCTTCCTACTTCATTTATCACAGAGCAGATTGTGGAAAAGGATGTTCTTCGGTCTGCTCTAGCTCTCCATCCTGACACCATTTGCTGTGGTCCTGGACTCTCCAGAGGAGCAGGTGACCCCTAAAACCACAGTGGGGGTGCAGGGGTGGGGGCGGCATGACTGAAGGTTAGTACAAGTGATCTGGGTGGCTGTACAGCTGCCTAGATCACCTGTACTTGACGGGCTGCATAGGCATCGCAGGAAGTTCTCATTGTGGGATGCTGTGTGGGCAGACTCTGCCTGGCCCCCCTGATGTCCTTATAGGGGACCCGGCCCACTATGGGAGGGCTGGCTCTACCCCCTATCAGCGACCCTGCCAACATATCACCTATGAATACCTGTGTTTTGTCTTTAGAAATCGGCTCTTGAGTGCACTTTGGCAGAGACAGAAGCAACTTTTGGTTCTCAGCTTATCCAGCTACAAAGCCTGATTGACAATGTGGAAGATCAGCTCTCACAGGTTCGATCTGAACTAGAGAGACAAATGTATGAGTACAAGATTCTCATGGATCAAACAACTCGTCTGGAGATGGAGATCAGCACATATAAGAAACTGATGGAAGCAGACATTCAGTAAGTAAACCTCATAGATAGAGAGAGGCACCGGTCTCTGAAATAGTTTTGCTTTAAGTGTAACTGAAGTCAAAACGTTTCTTTTTTTTTAGTTTTGGAAAGAGTGCAAAGGAATTAGAACACCTGTCAGGTTTTCTTTGCTGTCTCTTTCCCCATTTCAGAGATTCACCCCCTCTACTTGTCCTGGTGGCCGTTAGCACTGAAAGTGAAAGAAAATTCAAAATTTTAGGTTGCCACCAGGACAGGAATGGATGATAAATCTTCCTATGGAGACACTGGATCTGGCGACCCTGCTGATCACCAGGGACTTTTCTTTCTTTTGAGGGATTTCTTCTCACTTCCTGTTGTGGCTATTGAACAGTGGAGGGAATTCTTCCCAATGGGACACAAATGGCAAAAAAAGCTGACGGGTTATAACCCTCCCTTAATCTATCCAAAACCCCCCAAAAAAGTTTGGCCTTCAATTCTACTTTAAAGAGTCAAAATGATAATTAGGCAAAGCTTTAAGTGTATCTAAGCCCAAGAACAAATAAGTAATTTATTGCAGCTTACCACTCTGGAGATGTGGTGTCCACATTAGTTTTTTTCAGGCTTTTTTTCTGGCAGGATCAACAGGGTTTTTTTGTACCAGTGAATGTTTGGTGAAAGTCACACTCACTGCTTTATATATATGACCATTAGATTCTACCAATGGTAAATGTGGGTGTTGGGGAAGAAAGTGAATGTGTGAGCATATGAGCTAGGTAATGCAAGAAATGCCAGCGAATGCGGTTTTCCTATAAATAAGCATCTTGAAAATGCAATAACATTTAAGTACTCAGCATTCAATTATAAACGATTTCTAAGTTATATGTGGATATATCTTTCATGGTCAACTTGGAGTGTATATCATGATCATGGCCAAGTGTAGTTCATAAATCTCAAGGTTCTTGCACCAGTGGCAGATCCAGGGGGGGCCTCATGGCTGCCTAATTTGTCTAAGTAGAGAACTGCCCAGGGCTAGCAGCAGCAATGGGAGGATAACAGGGGAATGCAGGGACCTGTTGCACATGTGGGCAACAGTGTGCCCGGGGACTGGCCCAGAGCTCCCTGGCACTGAGGACCAGGATAAGGGACTCAGCACCAGTTCTCTTTGAATGGTTGTATTCTGCATTGCTGTATAATGTATTGCTGGGATTTGTAGTCCTCTACGGCTGGTGCCATTCTGCATTGCTATATAATGTATTGCTGGGATTTGTAGAGTTGAAACTGCCAGAGTCACAGCGTTTGCAACTACAACCAGGCCCTAGCATTCTGCCGTGTGGGGGGTCCCAGACAGGAGGAAGGGGGCCGTGGTAACTGCCGACATTGCCAGTTAGTGGGCCCTCCTTCCTTCAGTCTGGGTGCCCCCTTGAGACTAGACTCTGGATCTGCCCCTTTCTTGCGTGTAAATCCTTATATTAGTAAGTTACAACTCCATGATGTTTCTCTGCAGTGCACAAGCTGTATTTATTGTTTATACACACTGGACTGTTAATGCATATTTTTTACATATATTATTCTCTACAGCGTTCCAGAACATCATCCTATTCATCAAGAGAAGATCTATAAAGAAAGTAAGTGGGGAAGTTAAAGGTCATAACAATTACAATTACCTGAACCAAGTCCAAGTTTTTGATCTTTTAAAAGCTTCTTGCGATTCAGCGTGGAATGAAAGGCAAATATAAATTGTTCCATCATATTTGCTTTACACCAGTGCCTCCCTTAGGAATACCGGGAAGACTACTGCAGCTGATGGATGGCAAAAAAATAACCTGGCATGGATTTTAACCCTTCTCTACTCTATCAAAAACTAAAAAAATTTTTTGGCTGTAGATAAATGTATGAACATAGATTTTATACATAGCAGTGATAACACTATAAATCAGGTCCACATTTCTGCACAGCCAACATTGGTCATATTCTAGGGCAGTGTGCAGACACCTACCCACACAGTTTGTGCTTCTTTGTTGGTGAAATAGTGCACTGTGTACTTACAGCTTACCCATTCCAGGTAGACTAGAACTAAACTGTTATCCAAGTAGGACTTCTTTGTAATTATGATAACACTATATATATATATGTTTTATGTTTTGAAGCTCAGTGAAGAGTGGAGCATGGGACCTTATGAGGGGCTTGGACTGCTCATGTCCTGAAATTAATAAGCCAAGTGCTAGCACCCCATTTGATTGCTTCTGTGTATGTTCAGCAAGAATCATCTCAATTACAGAGTCATACAGCAAAGATTTGGGTTCCAAATTGTTTTATCATAAAAGAGTATCCAACGCATTTTGGGGAATTCGGACTTCCCCTGCTTACAGTGATTTTTCCGGCATATGTTGAGGAACCACTTTTTAGAACTTGTCCAAGTATGTTGGTAGCAGTGAGTCTCATGCACTACAATTGCATAGCAAAAGTAGGATGACGGCTTGACATTTTCATCTAGTGTTTAATTTTAGCAGAGTTATTCACAAAAGGGTGAAGAGTTTGGAGAAGGCAGGATAAGTAAACAATCTAGGACAACATAGCTGATCTGGAAAAATTCTTCAATTCAGCTCACTTTCCAGTTCAGCTATGTTGTCCTAGATTGTTCACTTCTCCTGCCTTCTCCAAACTCTTCACTATTTTGTGGATAACCCTGTAGGTGTATTGACTGCCCTGTTAGTGTAATACTAAGGTGTGACTAGGATAAGAGCAAGGCAGCACAATAGTAGATATTTGCCTTGAGAAGCAGGACATAAAACTGAGAGGTTACACTAAGGTTTAAGCTGTATGAAGAAAAGCTTTTATGGTTTGCTCCAACCCCTTATGGACTGGACAGCTTGGACAGTTACAGAAGAGGAAAAAATACTGATCTACTGGCAGGATGAACAGGTAATAAAACAATGTTACAGGGGGGGACTTGGGGAAACAAATGCTGCTGTGTTAAGGCTATTGGCAGTATACATCATATATGTCATGTTTTTATTTTACCCACTTTAAAGTTATAAGACTTTACCATAGAGTGCATTATAAAATGTTTATCCAATTCTTATGTCTTACAGTATCTCACGGCAGTTCAAAACACATCAGTACTCAAGAATATGACCATGGAAAAGGTGGCCACCAAACCAAGGAACCTAGTCACTAACCTAAGTAATTCATTATAAGGAAGAAACACAGAAGATCGAGTCTATGTCAGTAAAGATTTTGAATATGAGTGATCCACATCTCATTGAAGATGAGCTTCTATCTCCAAGACTGGACCTTAGTTTAGACATTCAGGGGGCTTTTCTTTATTTTTTGCGGGATATCTATAATCATGTGGAATCGGTAGGTCTTATTGTTTAGGTGAAAGGGTCTAAATTGAGATATGATAAAAATATATATAGCGTAATATCGCAAGCTCACCTCAAACAGATATTTCACTGTGAGGTTGATTTGACAGGTTTGTACATGAGTAGGTTTGTTTAAAATGTCTGTGCACCCTACAGAGATTACTTCTACACCAGCACTAGGGTCCTTGGCACAAATCCAAGTCAAGACACTACCTGCATGGAGTTTTTATGTTCTTGTATTTGCATGGGTTTCTTTCAGATACTCCAGTTTCCTACCACACTCCAAAGACATGCTGGTAGGTTAATTTGCTCATGTCTAAAGTAGCTCCAGTATGTATATGTATGCATGTGAGACATGGTTTGTAGATTGTTAGCTCCTTGAGGGCAGGGACTGATGGGAATGTACAATATGTAAAGCGCTGCATAAATTGATGCTATAAAAATACCTGTGATACATAAAATCTTGTCTCTGATCCTACACTTTGGACAAGTTGTTACTTTCTCATCTTTTTGCCAAGCTGTGGTGTTACTCATGTCTCCCATCCTGGACTGCATTGGGCATGGACCTGGTAACAACACTAGCTAGCAAAGATGAAATAGAAGGTGCTGTGGCAGGGATAAACTGTGATATTTATCATTCTTTGGCTCCAGAAACCTTTAGCAACCCTGACTAGAAAAGAACACACCTAAAACCACCCAAAACGAAGGAATTTTCTAAAAGGTAGTTGAAGTATGCTAGTATGCATGAATGGGCAGACATATTAGTTTTATCCTAACCATAATCCAAACAAACCTAACCTAGTACTTGCACAAACCTGGATCTTATATTTCCTACTCATTCATATGTCTAATAATCATGACTATCCCACCAATAGTAGGACACCTAGTTGTGTTTTATTGTTTGTAACAAAAAACTTGATTCATAGGATGTGCTTGGTATATGTGCTTTGTTTTATCCAATGTTCTAAATATTCACTGTACTGCATGTGGTGCTTCTTTCTACAGAAAACATAATAAAGTTCCTTTGTCTACTGCAATGTGCTGAATTGTGTATTTTATTTCTATAAGTGATTTTATTTATATAAGAGGATAACATAATTATTTAATTAGATAGATAGATAGATAGATAGATAGATAGATAGATAGATAGATAGATAGATAGATAGATAGAAAGATAGATAGATAGATAGATAGATAGATAGATAGATAGATAGATAGATAGATAGATAGATAGATAGACAGATAGATAGATAGATAGATAGATACAGGTGAAACTCGAATAATTAGAATATCGTGCAAAAGTAATTGCAGTAAGTGCTGCAAAAGGGGCCCAAACCAAGTACTGAGTACATATGCATGCTTGTACTTTTCAGAGCTCTGATATTATTCTATGTACAATCCTTGTTTTATTGATTGCATGTAATAATCTAAGTTTTTGAGGTTGTGGATTTGGGGTTCTTGGGGTTTTCATGAGCTGTAAGCCATAATCATCACAATTATGACAAATCACGGCTTGAATTATCTTGCTTTGCATGTAATGAGTCTATCTCATATATTAGTTTCACCTTTTAAGTTGCATTAGTGAAATAAATGAACTTTGCACGATATTCTAATTATTTGAGTTTCACCTGTAGATAGATATTTGGATCGGTATACTTCTTATATTAATTTCAACATAAAAGTTCAGGAAAACAAAATGAAAATAAAAAAACTGTTTTTTTTAGTCTTTCTATGTTACAATAAAAAAAAATGAAGAAAGCTAAACTGCTGTACAAGACAAGGCTTTGGAATGGGGCCCAGCAGCAAAGGAGACCCAGTACCACCGGACAATGTGTTCAGGCAGCAACACTTGTCAAACAGCTTTGTGTATATATAGTTTAGAATCCTTTATGAGTTTGTTGAATAAATAATTAAATTGCTGTAGGGTCATTTCAACGTTCAGTATGGCCCACGTGCCAGCGAAGGGTCTTTCAGATGGAATTTGGTGAGCCCTCCACACCATAATGTTTTTGCTATGAAGCTCTAGCATATGCAATCAGTAAGAAAAAAATCCAAAGTGCGAATAATGACCAACAGATGAAAATAAAGTGCAAGCGAGGATAACTAGGGGTGCTGCCCCACTTCAGCCTGGGAAGCTGCAATACTATGGGAGAAAAGGAAAGAGAAGGGCGCCCACCCTAGTGTAGATGGTTTTTAATAATATGAGCTAAAGTACAGATGCCTGTGTTGATACAGAGGCATCTGTGCAGCTGATATTCAGATATCGTTCTGGCTCATCTCATATGATTTTACTGATTCTCCTTTGTGAGTATGTTTTTACCTTGTACTTTAGCTCACATTATTAAAAACCATCTACACTAGGGTGGGCGCCCTTCTCTTTTCTTTTCTCCTCTAGCATATGCAGTTTTGACCAGGATATGATACAGTGAGTAAGAGAAGCCAAAAGGAGCAGCCTACAGAAAACCTCAGGCATACCAAACTGTTCCTAAGTTTCCGTAGTGCCAGGCTGGGCCTGTTTGATGCACCATGTCCAATGATGAAATAGAAATGTTTGCTGTTCTGCATAAAGTAGAAATTAACTTCACAAATGATACCTTGGAGGTTATTCACAAAGCTGCCAAAGGCAGCCGAGTGAACAGCCCAGCCGAAGTGAAGTGAGACGTAAATCGGCTGCCTTCGGCTGCTCTGCATGTTTGGCTGAACTGAAGTGCAGAAGGACTTCGACTCAGCCGATCCAACATCTGGATCAGCTGAGCCAAAGCTCCGGCAGCTCATTTGCTGCCGTTCGCCCCTATTCACAGTATTCGATATTCGAGCAGTATTCGGCTATGCTATTCTGCTCGGTACCTCCGCTGTCAACGTTAATCTGATCTGTCATTACAACTGGGTGGAGTCAGCCGTGAGATCGGCTGAGCTGAAGCAAATGCCTTCGGGAGCTGTACAGGCCGAAGAGAGCTGAAGCAACGGCTGGATCCTTGGGCTCCTCTGTGAATAATCCTGCTTGTTTTTGTTTTTTTTGCATGTAGTATTTATTGAAATTTCACAGTAGCATGGTTTAGGCCTAATACATGTGAATGACATACATGGACAATGGTATCATACTATGGGATCCAACGTAAAAATAGCAAACATCTCAACAACCCAATTTGTTTGTTGATACAGAAAGTAAGAGAAGGAAGACAAACATTGCTTTACCATCGGTATCAGATGGGTATGTATTCAGAGTTTACCAGAAAAGAATGGGACAATCCGTGTGTCAAGGGGTGTGCTTGGAGGGATATTGGGTTAGAGAAAGGGTACAACCAACAGGGGTCATAAACATAATGAACCCTGCTTGTTTTATAGAGCAAAGGGAACTTTGCTTATGTTTTCTTTCCCTGCGCTGTGCACATCCTGTAGACAATTTGTATGAAGATCTTTTCAGTATTTGCACTCTCCAGTGACATTTGAACATCCCACTTTTAGTCTAGTGAATTTGGCGGAACATGGCAGTATATTGTGCATTGACATGACTGCATGTAGTCCAGGTTGAGAGTGGAGAGTAAAGGGGGACAACTCTGCAGCCGAATCAATAAATGTTTTCAACCTAGCAAAAAAGTGAATGGATACACATTGTTGGAAGGATCAACAGGTATGATTAACCTGAAAGCAATAAAGATAAAAAGATTAACATTTTTTACATTAGTAATTTTGCACACAACATTATTATTGCATTTCTTTCACTTTTTTTATATCATAAAATGTATCTCTTTCTCTCTGTCCAGCTGAAGCTAATGTGCAGAGCTAGGAGCTTGGTGGCATCTTTTGGCAAGAGAGCAGGGCCGGATTAGCACTGACCACCTAAAACCTGCACTGACCACCTCGAGCACGCACTGACCACCTCGAGCACGCACTGACCACTTCGAGCACGCACTGACCACCTAGAGCACGCACTGACCACCTAGAGCACGCACTGACCACCTAGAGCACGCACTAACCACCTAGAGCACACATTGACCACCCGGAGCCCGCACTGACTACCTGGAGCCTGCACTGACCACCTGAGAGCTCATACTGACCACCTGGAGCCAGCACTGACCACTTTGAGCCCACACTGACCACCTTGAGCTCTCACTGACCACCAAGAGCCTGCACTGACCACCAAGAGCCTGAACTGACCACCTGGAGCCCGCAATGACCAGCACTGACCACCAAGATTCTGTCACGCCCACCTGAGAGCCACACTGATTGCCAGAGAGCTGCACTTGCCCCCTGAGAGCCCGCACTTGCCACCTGAGAGCCTCACTGACCACCTGAGAGCTGCACTGACTCCCAGTGAGCCCGCACTGGCCCCCTGAGAGCCTGCACTGGCCACCTTAGAGTCTGAACAGCCTCCTGAGAACCTCCACAGCCCCCCCTGAAACGCCACACAGCCCCCCTGAGACCCTGGAGACATCAGGCCATAAACCCAGAGCAACACAGAGTATGTAGCTTCAAAGTATTCTGTATTGCTGTATAATGTATTGCTGGGATTTGTAGTACTCCATAAGCAGTGCCATTCGGCATTGCTTTATAATGTATTGCTGCGATTTGAAGTCCTCTATAGTTGATGGTATTATTCTGCATTGATGTATAATTTTTTGCTGGAATTTGTAGTCCTCTATAGCTGATGGTATTCTGCATTGCTGTATAATGTATTGCTGAGATTTGTAGTCTCTCTAAAACTTGGAGTCAGTGGCAGATCTACCAGGCTTACAGCTGCAGCCGGGCCCCGACACTCCACCACTGACTCTAAGCTGTAGAGAGACATTTTCATAAAAAGGCCCACCGAAATTCTCAGCACCAGGCCCATGATGCTCTTAATCTGGCCCTGCAAGAGAGGCATGTTTGCAAATAAATTTGCACAAAAACTCCCAGTGATCACCATGATTTGCAGTCTCATATGGGCATATCATAACCATTTAACTGTCTTTCATGTACGCATAATTATGACTTTCAGTCTCTTTGTGTTAGTTCCATAGGTGTGGTACATATTGCAGTGTTGTACAACATGACAATAAACTTGTCACAGCTTCTAGCATGCTGTGATCATTTTCAGGTAATCACACAAATGTCTCTTTATACAGGTTACATCAACCACTAAATGAAACACAATGGGATGTATGTGAATTCCTCATAAAATCTTTTAGCTTTTTTAACGCCCCCCTTCCTTTTGTATAAAATAAGGCACATGAATGTTAGCAATTCTACCAGACCTCCTGGAGAAGCTACAGTGTAGTGTGATTCTTACAGGATCATCATGAGCCACTGTATCAAGTCAACCCATGCTTCAACTGGATCTATTAAGGGAACCAGTCACAACATTTCTAGCCATATCTCAACTTTACATCACAAGATCCATCATGGGGATTCTCATAAAATTTGCCATCATGGAACAACTCATTCTTCCCTTCATGGAGGATTCCATAAAGGGCATCATGTAAGCTCCCACTTGTCTCATCATGGAGGTCACTACAGAACTCCAAGTGTTCATGGAGGCTCTGGAGGAAAAGGGATCTCTGTTTCCAAACATACTTCTATTGGTCATGGTTTTGGCTTTGGAAGTGGCCACAGTCACAGCGGCCATCATAGCAGCTTTGGGGGTCACGGTGGTTGGAAGGCCGATGGTCTTTTTGCTGTAAATGAAAAAGAAACAATGCAACATCTAAATAACCGTTTGGCTACCTACCTGGAGAAGGTTCGTTCCCTGGAGCAGGAAAATGCCCAACTAGAGAGGAATATTCGAGAGTGGTATGAAAGGAACCAGCCCAGCACTTTTCCCGATTCCAGTGGCTTCTTTAGGACCATTCAGGAGCTTCAAAGCCAGGTAAGTAAGGACCCAGTCACACATATGTGCTATATTTGCTGGAGTGTGTTTTTGATGCAGTTTACATGGGACAACATTTATTTCCATAAGAGATGCACTTTTTGAAAACCACACCAAGAATTCAGCAAGCAGAAACTGTTTTAGAACATATTTTTTGTTGCATACCTTTTTTAGTAAGCTGATACTAAATAACATTTTAAAAAATGACGGCATTAATAGAAAAAAATATATTAGTGTGCATGGGTTCCCAAACTACTTGTCCAGCCTATGCTTCTGGGACCTTAGAGGACCTTCTGAGACTTAGAGTGCCTTTTTAACCTTAGTATATATGGGCCGGGTGCTGGAGACCACGCCCACTACCATGTAGACATTAACACTGTTCCCTTCTAGGGCAAGGGGGCAGCGGCATGCATTCTCCGTGATTCTCCAACTGTGCTCCAAGTTTTCAAAAAGTAATGTCCAGGTGGGGTTCGACAGTGAGCATCTCCACTCTGTGTCTTACCAGCATTGACTCATGCAGAATGCTTCTCAATTTCTGCTTGACACTATTTGGAATAGACGTGAAGGTAACATTCTCTGTATGACCTCAGTTAAACATTATGTTCCATCAGGTTCAGAATAACCTGAACTATCTATCTATCTATCTATCTATCTATCTATCTATCTATCTATCCATCCACAGTGACTATCTATCTATCTATCTATCTATCTATCTATCTATCTATCTATCTCTCTATCTATTTATCTATCTATCTATCTATCTATCTATCTATCTATCTATCTATCTATCTATCTATCTATCTATCTATCTATCTATCTATCTATCTATCTATCTATCTATCCACAGTGACTATGTGTGTACAAAGGCAGGTGTTTAATTGGGGGGTCCAAAAACTGTTCTTGCACAGTGTCCCTTTGGTGGCTTTGTCCACTACTGTTGGTATGCGTGTATATCTGCAACTGTATACAGAAAGTATATAAGCTGTAGACAAGCTTTTAGGCTTTACTGAAAACAACTAAAATGGCTTCTTAAGCACTGCAAATCAATACCCATAATATAATATCCATTCATTTTTATAGTTATTTGAATCGAGTAATGTTGATCTGGTTTGGAGGTCAATACTGTTGCATCCTAGGAAGCTCCATTTGTTATTATTAGTGTGTCCTCCTAAGGAGAAGTTTCAATGGAAGCCCAAGACACATTAGAACAATTTTGCTTTATAGATAGATAGATAAACAGAAAGACAGATGAATTGATAGACTGACCTTGAAAACATATATTTTTATATCACTAACTAGATGATTCCTTTGTGTTTTAGATATCTTCTGCCTCCACTGAAAATGCAAGGATTGTGCTGCAGATAGACAATGCCCGACTGGCTTCAGATGACTTCAAGAACAAGTATGACATCATACTATTATTTATAATAAAATAATATAGAGGAAACTTAAATATCACGTTTCAAGAAACTCTTTAATATCCACATAAAATGCAAATTTCAAAGCAAATCTGTATCTTGTATGGATATACACTGAGTGGCCAGATTATTATGACCACCCCATCAGTACTTCGTTGGGCCACGAGACGACTCCATGAGATGACTTCGTTGGGCCGCCTCGTGACTCCACAAGATGTAGAAAGGTGATGCGAGGAATCTGACACTGCACTGTTTCCCTTCTGTTGTCTTGTACCAGTCTTGCCACTCTCCGTTCTGCCCTAACATTGACTAGTCGCTGATGGCCACTATTCGCACGTTCAGACCCAGATTTTCGGCTGACCAGTCTTTAAACACTTTAACAACAGCTGCTCTTGAACATTTAACAAATTCTGCTGTTTTGCTGATACTCGCTCCATGGCTCCAAGCGCCAACAATCATCCCACGTTCAAAGGCTGTTAAATCGCGTTGTTTACCCATATCTTCAAAATGATCTTCATGATCTTCAAAAAAATCACTTCTACTGCCGTGGTAAACAACCTGCTTCCCTATTTATAATGGTCTGGCCCTCTAGCAACTTCAGCACGAAATTATAGCTAATTATAGCTAATTTGCCTACAAACGTCAGTTGGTCATAATAATCTGGCCACTCAGTGTATATATCCATTCCTTCATATTCGACTCTCTGAGATTCTGTGGGCCAGCTCCCTGCGCACCATGTCTGATACACTTAAAAGCCTTTTCCATAGAACTTTCTTGTTTGGGTTTTTTTTTTACATGGTAGATCTTTCCTCAATCCCCCTCAATTGTTCAGCTTGGGGTCAGCATTCAGTATGTGATAACACTTCCGCATAGCCAATTTGTACACAGCTATTATGGCCAATTTAGACAGGAGCCAAATAACCGATCAGCATATCTTTGAAGTGGGAAGAAACCCATGCAAACACAGGGAGAACAAACCAACTCCATGCAGATAGTGTCCTGGCTGAGTTTCAAACCAAGGACCTCAGTGCTGCAGGGCATAGGTGCTAACCACTACCACTGTGCCATTCCCCAGCCTCACCCCCAGCACGTCCCGCCCTGTCTGATGAAGCCCTGCCTCCAGCCCAATGAAGCATCATCCTCGTCCGCTGAAGCACCGCCCCAACCCGGTCCCCAAGCTAGTCTGAAGGAGGGAGGGAGGAGGAAGGGAGGAGACAGGGAGGAGCCTCCCTGTCCCTCACTTGCTCGTCCCTGCTGAGGCATTGAGATCGATGGCCTCAGTGTTTTTGTTTTTTTGATTGGACAGCTTGGACCAATGACGCTTTGCCATTGGTCCAAGACATCCACAGAGCTCACGCCTCTAACTTAAAGTAGAGGCTGTGACAGCTCTTGCCTCATTAGTTAGGTTACACAAGCAGTGGGGGAACACGCTGCTGTGTAACCTAGCTACCTGTCAAAAGCCAGATGCAGTGCTGCCTGTAATTAACAGGCAGTGCTCCATCCATGACAGGTTACACAGCGGGGAGGCTTTCCCTGCTGTGTAACCTGTAACAAGCCAATCTGAATGGGGAAAAAGTTGTCAGCTTCAGACTTGAAGCTGACAGCTTTTTCCTCCATAATACTAGGTGAGGCTCTGCCTCACCTGCCTCCCCTGACTGCAAGTCCCTGCTGTGCCACTATGTCGTATCTCACAGCTGTTTAAACTAATATACAAAAAAATTAGGACACCAAAGCATTTATTTACCTGTGTTTGTTTATTATTTAGAACATTTTGATGATCCCATATGCCTACGTGCCATCACTTTTTGGTCAGTAGAGAGACCTGCATGGCAAAAGTTGCATGTTAGAGCTCTAACTTGAGAGCCTGAAGTTGATATTTGCATATTTAAAACCCCAGGTTTTGGGGCTCCCAGGACCCATGCAGCTCTAGAGCAAAGAAGGTTAGTAAGCTTCATAAGTCATCACATGAAGCCCACACAGAACTTAAGACTATCTTCCCTCCCACATGTGACAGTGCTAAGTACCTGAGCAGCCAATCACCAAGTACCAGCACTTTCACATGTGAGAAGCAGGAAAGAGCCATATGCCTTCCCATACCTGGAAGTACAAGCTACTTCTCAAGGTATTTCTCTCTGTGGGAGTAAAGTGTAAATGAGCATAAGTTTCTGGGGCCCATATTAAAGTAAAAACCTTTGCTTTGCCCTTTTGCTTTTAGAAAGTCAAGATACAACTTGTTTTTTTTTACGTTTACTAAGATCTTACAGCATCAGCTCATTTTACAGAATGTCTTCCAAAATACATTTCTTAATTTTTCTATTCCTGCAAGGTATGAAATGGAGATGAGGCTGAGGAGCAGTGTTGAATCTGATGTAAATGGTCTACGCCGGGTATTGGAAGAGCTTAACCGGGAGAGATGTGACCTGGAGAGTCAAGTCCAGAGCCTCCAGGAAGAACTTCTGCAGATGAAGAGGAACCATGAGGAGGTACGTGCTCTTTAGAAGCAGAAGCCAGTATTATTAGTAGTTAATTAGTGTAATTGTAGTCAACATATCCTGACTTGCTTTTCAGTGAACTTTAAACTTTGACCATTCAGATCAGTCTGCCCCAGTGGGTGGGGGATTTACAGCATTAAAGAACATCAAAACGTAAATGTATTTTTTAGTTCTTGATTATTTTTGTATGTATCCCTATTGGAGAGAATCACCCAACTATCACCTAGACTGGAAGAAAGTGACAATCTAAAATTTTGAGTTGTCACCAGAGCAGGAATTTTGGGACTCTTGTTGAGGTTGAATTCTTAGGTGATAATCTTTTGTTCTGATATTCCCATAATTGCTATTTTTTGTACAGGAGGTCAACTCTCTCCGTGCTCAGCTGGGTGCAAGGGTCAATGTGGAAGTAGATGCCGCTCCATCAGTTGATCTAAACCAATCTTTGTCTGAGATCCGAGAACAATATGAGAACCTGATGGACAGGAACATGAGAGATGTCGAGAACATGTTCCTTCAAAGGGTAACTGAATTTTTTTTACATTTTGATTCAAAGTAACACAATAACTAGCTAACATATGTAGAAGCCTACGTCTGAAAAAGTCCATCTGAACCTTCTAGTGTTTCCCTCTCTCAAAATTTTTAATGCAAGTTGCCATGTTAAATGAAATGTCATTTATCTTTTTTAATGGTAAATGCAGTTGGGAAGCTGGATTTTTTCTGCACCATGCTAGAAAGCGCTGGAGGGGATGGGAGGAACTGACCAATTGTTATATTATTTCCATAAGCTCCTGCGGATAGAGAAATGGACTGTAAGCAAAGATAGACATGGCTATTCACTGATAGGGCTATCAACGGTACCAACATCTAAGCAGCTACAGCAGAAGTAAGGGTCATAAGTCTGCAGTGGTTTTACTGCAGATGAAGGAGCATTGTAATGCTTTCAAATCAAGTGTCCAACTCATGGTACTACTTTAAGGATTAACCCATATTTACTAAATAAAGAAGGTGCTTAGACAAACAGAGAGCCCTGGTCTTACAGGTATGAGTAGCCTACCTCATTTATGTGATTTTATAGTTTGACTTTAGTTCTACTGTAAGACCTTTTCCTACACACATTAGTTTCCTGTCTTCCATTGGAAGACTATAGGCAGGCTTTAGTAATCCTCTTTTACCTGAAATATCTGCAAAGCATAGATGAGGATCAGCAGAAGAAGGTTTTTGATTTCTCGAATGTTTTCTCATCGGCCAGCTTTTTATAACTTCTGGAGAACCTTATGGAGATATTTCCCCTAACATCACTATACCAATGTCTGTTTTAAATCACCTGCTGAGCTGCAAGGTTTAGCTTTCTGCCAATAGAAGGCCCATTACTGCCTACCCAAAACTTAACGTTTGGTTGATCTTACGTCCCACAAGCTTGGTCTACACAAAATGTTGGAAAATATCTGCAGCCAAAGAGCAAACATTCTTTTCTCCTCAAGACAAAGGTACATTTCTTACCACTGCCACAGTTAAATATTACCTGTGTTGGTGAGAAAGTCACAGCAGGTCTGCCAACACAATGAGGTCAGACAAATCTTCAATACCCAATGTCTGGACATCAAAAGGTGTGTCCAATAAATCAAAAGTAAATGTAAAAATACCCTCACTTGTTCACAGCTAAAATATGCATTCAGGTTTCAGATAATCATATGTATGTGTGGAATTTCATTTCTTTATTTATTTTTCAGACTGAAGAGTTGAACCGTGAAATGGCATCTGGATCTGAACAGCTGCAGTCTGTCCAAACTGAAGTCATTGAGCTTAGACGTAGTGTCCAGACCCTGGAGATTGAGTTGCAAAGCCATATGAGCATGGTACGGTATACTTACAAGAGAAAACATGAACACCTTTCCAGAGTCCCATTTACTGTAAGGCTCTTGATGGTCATTGGGTAGGGCAGCTGTCTAACATTGCACAGCGCCAAGCCACATTTCACTTCATTCTTTTTTCTTTTCTCCTGTTTCTCTGGAATAGGGAGCATTTTGGTTCCCTCCATGCCCCACCCCCATTTCACAAATTTGTTCCTTTTTTATTTTTGTATGATTTATTTTCAAAAGTATTTAGTTGTAAATCTAACACAAGAAGTAGAGGAGGGTAGATGGTATGTTGGGAGGAGTCACGTGACTCTCAGCTATTCTCTATCAGCATATTTAGGGTGTAACATAAAACATGGTCACCCCTGATTTATTTTTAGTTTTATTTCTAAAAATTACACTTTGGCTTTAAAGCAAACCAGATACGGTTTCCCTAGAGCACATTTTAGTTTTAGTTTTCTAAACATAATTCTTTGGTAAATGGGGTGGGGCCTATAGGAAAAGGAACCCTAATTCTCAAATGCATAGGGCAACATTATGTCTTGGTAGAGCTAGGAATGCCACTTCATATTTAATTCTTCGTCATTAATACTGTCTTTGCCTTATCTTAGAAATCGGCATTGGAAGGAACTCTGGCTGAGACAGAAGCCACTTTTGGCGCACAGCTTTCCCAGCTACAATGTCTGATCAATAATGTAGAATCTGAGCTGGCACAGACCCGCGGAGACCTAGAACGTCAGAACCATGAGTACAAAATCCTGATGGACCAAAAGACTCATTTGGAAATGGAAATTGCAACCTACAAGCGACTGTTAGACGGCCATGATTTCCAGTAAGTCAGGAGGAGCATTTTCGGATTCACATTACATAATTGAGATTGCATGTTACTTTTTCCTAGGTTTCTTTATATAGTCAGAAACAATCATACAAACCGTTTAAACGTTTATCCTGTGTGACCCATATGTTTTTTTTTTCTTTCAGTGTTTCTGGACACCACTCAAGCGCCAAGGAAGGTACCACTGAATAAAATTAGCAAAGCTTTCTGTTTTACCTAATGAATAATCCAATCCAACACTTAAAGAGGAACTCCAGGAATTTGAAAAGTTAACCCTTGTAGGGAGCTACCTCTGCACTGCAAGGGTTAAGTGCATATTTTGTCTAGGGAGCTAAAATAAAGAAGAAATACTCACCCAATCCTCAGTTCCCCCTGACTATTAGACTGGTCCCTGCAGCCTTTTCTCCCTCAGGCTCCAGCAGTCTAAGGATCCATACATACAGTAAATGTGTTGGAATTCATTGTGGTATGTTGTGTTGGTCATACACTGGAAATACAGTCTATGAATGACACAGAGGTTCTTTTGACCTTAAATTTGTGATGCATATTAGAGTGTAGGTAACTAAGAATGTCCATTCACTGTGCGAGTTTTTGAGGAACCGCCTGAAGTTTGCACAGTCAGCACCCTTTCGGTTGGCATATCTCAATCAGCTGATCGAAAGAGCTGGCCGGCAAATCTTCGTACAATCAGAGCCGGCAATGAGCCAACTCTGCCCGGGTTGTCAACGGCCGCTGTCAGAATACAATGCAAACAGTGGGATTCCTCGATTAACACACTCCTAAGTGTCGATGGAGGAATCTGCCCTATTTTTTATTCAGCCCGTGGGTTGAACAAGAAAAATAGAGCAGTGTATGGCCAGCCTAACACTAGTAATGCCCCTACCCGTATGCGCTCCCCAACTCTGCTTTGCCCATCAAAGATTTGCCCTTTATTTAATTTGATGTAAATTCTTTATACTTGCACTGACAAAGATGTGCATTTTCATTGAATGGCAAAAGTATAGAGAATGGATTGGTTGCAAAGCTGTACATATGTTCTTTGTACCTGGCAGGCAATGGAATGGTATAAATAGATAGTGATCATTGACTGAGTGGATATCAGTACAACCATTCAGCATTGGGGTCTTGGGTTCAGTTTTCACATTGCTATTTCATTATTACTAAGATGTATTTATTTTGTATTTGTTGCAGTGTCCCACCATTCTGTGAAAATCCATCACACCCCCGAACACACTCATCACACCAAGTGCTAAGAACTCTGGGATATGAAGAGCTCCAGTATTCACATCCTAGTTATTACTATACCTTGAGTTGATGAATAATCACGTCTTTCTGGGTGTTTTATGTTCATTCTCTATATAACTGTAAGGGCCTATAACTTCAATAAAATCTTTTCTTTCTCATGCAAAGCAGTTGTCAGTTTTCTAAATTATTTTTGTATGTCCTGTGAATGAATTTGATGTAGTAGTTGTATTTTCAAATTGGTTGGGTGGCATATTTCTAAAAATAAAAAATGTTTTGTGATAGAACCTACTCTGCTTAATTAGTCAGTGAAGATAGAAAGTTATTTAGCACCCAAGCCAAAAAGACCAATGTGCTTCCCCCATCCCCATTTGCTGTGCACTGCTTCAGCCGCATAGGTTGCAGGTACTGCCCTTTTTTGCCCCTACCTGCAGAAGCACCCAAGGCAGCCGCCTCTTCTGCCTACCCCTTGGCCCGATAACATGCTCTACCCCTTTAGTAAATCAAATCCATCACATCTATATGAAACAATTTTATTCCATGTTTGCAAAAAAGGTAGTACATTATGTGATGTCTATTTTCAGTGTTGTATTCTGTTGGGCATTGGATTGACATTCATTTTGATGGTCTCTTGAAGAGCATCTTACAGGGATTCAATCACTTGAATAATCGATTCTTTCTTAAACAGAAAATGAATATGTTTGTCCCATAAGGCTCACTTTTACACACAAGGAGAAATGCAAAATGGTCTATTTTATAGCTTTATGTGAACTGCGCTTCCCTGTCCTCACAATCTGTGATCTCCAAATTCCTTTATGGATCATTTGCCTTACAAATTACCCATTTTGACACCGCACGTAGTGTTCTAGATGTGCATGAGGCGTGTTTACCTTTATATTACCTTTTAAATTCACATTAATATAAATGTAGCAGTAGAAAAACTGCTCATTATTGGGATGTGGTACCACCCCCCTCCCCCTCCCTGACCCCATTCCTCCTAAGAGGTACTACACTGACCTTACCCTCAACCAAGCTGCTTATTTACCTCTGTATCAGATCTGTAGCCTGCTCTGGTGTAGACTTTGAATGGGACCACATACCAAAATCTTCAATCTCAGTACATAGTTCCATTCAAGTCTATAGGGACTCATAAACAGAGCACAGGCGCACCCAGCACTGAAGATAAATTCCTTGCAAATGAGGAGAATACCAGAGCAAGCTGTAATTCGGGGGTAAGTACGCAGTTGGGATGAGGGGTTAGTACAGTTTAGTTTAGGAGAGCAAGGAGGGTGGGTTAGCATTGGTTTATATAAAAGTTAACATGTCCTTTTAAAGCAAATATAGTATAGTGTATGCATTGCAACCTGACTCTTTCAAAACAGCTTCTGGGCTTTTCCTGGATACTGCATCCCACAATGCAATGTAAGCATCTCAGCAACCACGTAAAGTGTATCAAAAACCTCTTTCTTTTAGTTTTGGATAAAGTTGTTGGGGGTTAGGACCTCTATCAGGTTTCTATTATTGCATATTTCCCTGCTGGGAAGATTCACTCCTCTATTTGCCCTGGGGACCGTTGTTACCGGATAGAAAGTAAGGGGAAATCCTACATTTTAGAGTTGCCATGACAGCAAGGGGTTAAATGTTCAACATAAACGCATGCTCTGGGGACAACTGGCCAAGATGGAACTTCCCTTATCTTTAGGGAGATTTCCTTTTACTTCCTGTTGCATTTCCAAGACAAGAAGTGAAGAGAACTCTACCCAGAAGGACACAGACATAAAAAAATAACCTAAAAGGGTTTTGAACTCTTTCCTACTCTAAACAAAACTGACAAAGTTTTGGCTATACATACAAGAAGCGCCTCTATTCCCTCTTGGGAGGGTGTCTATGTGGAACTTTTAAGTAGTCGTAACTAGATGGGACTGCCTGGAGCCCCTAAGGTGCAAAGGAGGCATCCTGAAATAACAGAGGTTTGCAGACATCAAAGATGACTAGTAACATAACATAACATTAGAGTAGTTTCCTTTTCCCAATTACATGTACCAATGAGGCACTCTGTTGCTAAAATCAAAGTATCCAAAAAAGCTGAACCTGCAAAAGAAGATAATAAATACTTATATTTTGTGCTGCCAAACATCTCTCCTATGCAGAGAAATTGCCCACTGGAGCCTCTTTAAAAACCAACACTGCTGGGAGTGTCGAATCCCTGGTTCCTCTATGCTCAGTGGTTCCTGTATTCATTTAGGAAGTCATTTGGTAAAACTTCTAAGAACAGTAGACGCCAAAAGATCCACACTACTGACCTTTTGCATGGTAATTCTTTTGGGCACCTTGAGTTACATCAAAAAGAGTCATTTCTGACACCATCAAACAAGAGGCAGCTACTACCTCCTCCATAGCCTATATGACCTTTCTGTAAACTTGTGATCATCATCAGGGAAAGATTAGGGTGAACAACTGGGGCAAACTGCTGCAAAATGTATAATTCATACAGCATGGTAAAGAGGATCTTTATAAAAAGAAAGGAAAAAAACAATTGCAATCAATCAAAACATTATTACAAAGGGAAATTAGAATTGGGGCTATTTTACTATACACTGTGGTTACAGATGAGTTTCCAAAGAGGGTACAAGGCCATTTGCCTTCAGGCTGTCTCTTTCTGATGGAAACCGTACCCTATTAGACCTGCAGATAATGCTGATGTAAATTGATTTTTAAGATTTTGATATGTAAGTTGGTGCCTAAATATCAGTCTTTTTTTTCCTTATCTATAAATGGAACACCAGAGACGTGAAATAATATGGTGATGGCATATATTCACACAGTCTCAATAGAATGTTGTTATGGTTTATCTTAAACTTCACTTAATGTGCTTTGATCTATAATTGATATAGGTACAGTCTGCGTACTGGTACCTGACTCGAGTTATCTGCTGATGAATGCACTTGTTTATGTTGTACTAATCGCTACTTAATAATAAAAATTGACATGCTTAAAAAAAAAAAATGGAACACCATCTATCTTCAATATATGTTCCTATCTGGACCTAGAAGGAGGTATGATTAGGCAAGATGGAACCCCTCTACAACTTTTAATTCCTAAAAGCACTGGGAAGAGGAGACCTTTTCTGTATATCCTAATGAATAGAAGTTCAAACCCAACTAATGGTCAGGGCTGATGTACCTTAATACCTTCTAGGACAGGATAGGAGCAGCTACCCTTATAAGAAAAAGTTAATTTGCATTGGACATGTGCAATTCGTTTAGTTACTAATTGAAATTTGGGTGAATATCTGCATATTGGGACATTCGGACGAATCAGAAATTTCCGAATGGAAGAAAAAAATGAATCCAAATGCATCCAATTTTTTTTTCAAATGTTATTGGGAATTAATTTATGCTGTTAAATATAAAAACAACAGTGTGGCATCTCCTCCCTAATTCAAGGAAGGGTAAGGAATTTTAGGGAAAACAACAATGCCAAAAATACAACAAAAAAGTGTGGAGTCCCCCTAAAATCCTTTACCAGACCCCTGATCCAAGCAGCAGCCTGAAAGAGCAGGAAAGGGGGGGGGGTGCGCCCCCCTCCTGCACCATACCAGACCACATGCCCTCAACATGGGGAGGGTGCTTTGCCAGGCGGACAAGGGCCCCAATCAGGATGGGCCTCTTTGCCACAACCCTAGCTTCGGGGTCAGATAAGCTCCCCTGCCCGCAGAACCCGACAACCACTGTGCCAGGATTGAGTGGAAAAAGCCCTTGTCCTCATCAACATGAGAACAAGGTGCTTTGCCAGGGGATCCCCTTTTGGCAAAGTACCCTCCCCATGTTAAGGGGAATGTGGCATGGTATGGTGCTGGGGGGCTCACATTTGTCCCCCCTTTCCTGCTCTGCCAGGCTGCAGCTCGAATTAAGGGTCTGGTAAGAGATTTCAGGAACAAACCCCATGCTGTTTTTTTGGTGTTAGGGTCCCCATAAAATTCCTATCAGACCTAAAAGGGGGACCTCACACTTTTTTTTTGTTTTCTGTGAACTGTCAAAAGTTAAAAAGAAAAAAATAAACATGTCACTTTTTTTCTTTTTAATGACACTTTTCTGCTACATATTTTTGTTTATAAATATTATTCAACTCATCTGAAATCCATGAAAAATTGGGATTCGGATGAATCCGAATACCGAAAAGAATTGACTTTCGGACCTGAATCCCGAAAAACAAAATAACGGCTTACATGTCTTACGTGCATGCATGTTTTAAAGGGCTAAAGAGCATGTTTCATAATATAATAGTGGGTTTAATTAATTGTTTTTTCATGGTCTGCATGACTGGCATTGTGGCAGGGGTGTGTCCTTTTGCCCACATACCTTTTCCTCATTCTTATCTCAAAAAGTTGGGAAGTATGCTGGTGCTCCTTCAAACCTAAAGTATTAAGTACATTCTTCACTCCTTGCAGTTAAACAGAGGGGTTGGGAGACAAAGTAAGGTATGTGTCACTAGAAAAGGGGACAATTAAGCAAACCTCTTACTTTACCCTGCATGGGCAAAGAACAGGCATATCACATTACTTGCATTTATACTGGATAAAACATCACTAGATATCTGGAGACATTTGAAATAAAGTTCATTTTATTAGATTTACTTATAATAGATACATCACTCTATGGATATACTGCATACATTAAGTCAAATGCACAGAATTTATAAATAATAGAACTATGTCAATACCCCCTCACCTATGCGTGCTGTCTATTTAAGTCCTTTAAAGGGTAAGGAAATATTTAATTAAAATCTCCTTACACTTTTCCCCTAACCCCCCTTAAGTAGATGTAGCTCACCATTCCCCCTAAAAGCTCTATATGAGGCATGTAGTAATGTTATCATCTCTTGCCGGCTTCCTCACCCAATGTGTGCATGTGCAGTTTGGCTGGCAGACAGATCAGCTCCTATATATGTATCAACTAGGGATGTCCCGATACTGATGGCCAACACCGGCCCTTTAAATTTTTAAAGAGGATCGGCTGTCTGAGTTCCCACACTTGCTGGGGACCTCAGACAGCTGTCTTTAACAGTGCCTGCCCGACCTCACATCTCCTCCTTTCCTGCACCGTCTGAGACAGGCACAACAAAGGAAAACCCCATGCCGCCCGTACAGCCCTGGAGCCCGGCACCCACTCGCAGAGCTTGGCACCCACGCGCACTGCCCGGAGAGCCCAGCACACGGCTGCAGAGCCCGCCACCCACCTGCACCGCCCGGTACCCACATGCAGCCCTGGTGAGACCTGCACGCAGTCCAGGTGGGACCGCACACAGCCCTAGTGAGACCGCACACAGCCCTGTATAAATGCTGTATAATCATGGATCGATGGGATCAATGATTATACAGCAATAGGGAATGGCAAGCGGCCATGGAGGACTACAAATCTCAGCAATCCATGATTGCTGGTTGCCATTCTCCATTGCTGAATAACCAGAGATTGAGTTACAGTTCTTCATAATTATAAAGAAACTGCCCTAAAATCATCAGTCTGTATTGTTTTAGAAAATGTTTTATATGTCCCTTTAAGAAAAAGTATTGCTATTGGCGAGAACCTGAGGGAAAGTACTTGTACTTGGTTTGGAAAAAACAGCACCGGGACATCCTTACTACCAACTACTATTGAAGTTTGTACTCCATGTAAACATTGCCAACTGCCTTGGCGGTGAGATCTAGGTTATTAGAGACCTACTAACGTAGAGGGAGGGAAATGGTTACTTCTATTTGGGTGGTTTGGGTGAAAAGATAAGGAAACTTTATAATAATATGGGTATAATAAAAGACACCAGTTGAAATAAGTAACAGGAAAAAAAAAGGTTTACCTGTAGCTGGGCTTTAAAAAAAATTGTGCATGCAGGATTTTTTTCCAATTCCACTGCACTGGAACAGAGGGCATTCCAGTACCTTGTGTTCCGGTGGAGACGATCGCAGTGCCGGTGAGGAGGCGTGTCTGCGGTGCCATTGACATGAATGGCATCATCACGCCCCCTTCAGCCCCAGACTGCGGCATGGCGAGATCTATGCGATACAGTGCATTTCGAGCTTGGACCGCGCTGGAACGTACTGGATATGGTCTGACTGGGCCCTTAAAGTGTTTCATAATCATCTTCTGAATGATGAATTTTAAGCAGAATAAAAATGGTTTTCAAATAATTGACTTCTGCAGTAATGCCCTTACCCCAACTCTTCACTTCTGCTGCCTTTCTAATCTGCTTCAGCAATGGGTTTCTCACTGACTTTGACCACCTCAAAGCTCAAGCAAAGTGATAAGCAATGCACCATAATGTCTAGCTTTCCTTTGCTCACATCTGAATATTTCATATGCAATTTAAATCATTCTAACTTTTTACCATGGTGTAGGTGTATATAAAAAATCCAGGTATATAAACTGCACACCTTTGTTCTTAGTCTTAACACATCCTGTGCCATTCGGAAACTGATAGCTTCAAGGTAAATCTATTAGTGATGTTGAAGCAGAAGTTAAATTATGATGACACGGAAGTAGAAAGGTTAAAAGTCAACTAAACATAAATTCATGAACTGGTTTATGTAAGAGTTTAAAGGCTCCATTCACAAAATAACACACCAGAATAAAGATCCTTCCCATTATTTTCACCAGTGAGTTCAATGAGATTTGTAAATTGTGGTAAATATAACATTCACAGGTGGCCTACATTATGTAAGAACTACAAATTATGGGAAACTATTTAAAATGATGCTGGTGTTGTGGGGAGTAATATCCCTAAACAGCAAACTTCCTGTCCAGCAAACATTTACAGGGTTAGTCACTAAGCTGCTGAAGGCAGCAGAATGAATAACCGAACCGAAGGGAAGGCAGCAGAAGCCTCTTAGGCTATTCACTGCAGCCCTGTAGGGCTACTTTTAGCCGTACATCGATGGCATTCGTCCCGCTTTATCTCAGCCGATGCAACATCTGGATCAACTGAGGCGAACGCTTGGCAGTTCCTTCCCTGCTGTTCACCTCTATATTCAAAGAGGCTAACAGCAGAGAGTGAACTGCCGAATGCTCAGCATTCGGCTCGGTCATTCTGAGGTAGTGAACAGAATGAAAACTGTCATTGTAAAAAAAAAAACAGCATGGGGTCCCTTCTCCCAATTTCTACCAGACCCTTGACCCAATGTCAACAAGAATGTGCGGGGGTTCCTCTAGAAAGTCATACCAGGCCCTTTAAGTCTGGTAGGAATTTTAAGAGGGACCCCCAACGCCAGAAAAAAGGGATAAAAAAATGGGGTCCCCCTTAAAACTCTATACCAGACCCTTATTCCGAGCACTGGTCTGGCAGGGTAGGAAAGGGTGAGCGAACCCCCCCCCTCCCTCAACTTTACCAGGCCACATGCCCTTGACATTGGGAGGATGCTTTTCCTGGGGGAGGACCCCTTGGAAAGCACCTTGTCCCCATGCTGATGAGGACAAGGCCCTCTTCAGCACAACCCTGGCCCTGTGGTTGAGGGGGTTTGCGGGCATGGGGGCTCATCTGCATCTGGATTTTTTATTTCAGTGAGTTGGCAGGGGCCATTCAACATGATGGGCGATGGATTACAACCCTGGATTACGTGACTGATGATTTTTTAAAAGATTAATGGAATTGTCAAAAACTGACTTGTTTTTTGTTCAAGTAAATAACTTTTTCACGGTGGGAAGTTTTTATTTACTATTTACTTTTCTCTTTGGTGAATGAGTAAGGGGTAACAACTACCCCTTACTCATTCACAAAGGGGGTCACATCTGGGTGCCCCCTTTATAAAAGGGGGTGCCCAGATGCAGATTGTCACCAGAACCACCATTCCAGGGTTGTGGGGAAGAGACCCTTATCCTCATCGGCATGGGGGACAATGTTAGGGCATATCAAGGGCATGTGGCCTGGAATGGTACCTTTCCTGCCCTGACAGGCCAGTGTTCACTATAATGGTCTGGCATGACATTTTAGGGGGAGACCCCATGTTTTTTTTTCTGTCTGTTCTGTGTTGGGGTCCCCCTTAAAATTACGAAGGGCTTTTTGCAGCCAAAGCATGAATGTTCGGCTAAATCCTTTGGCTCTTAAGTGAATAACCCCCTTATTGCTTTACCAGAAAAAGGCAAACTTTAATTTTGCTGATTCCTTTTGCCTAAAATGGCAGCTAAGCAATGGGATGAAATGTCAAATACGGTATCCTCATTTCTGTTTATGTATGAGTCTTTTTCCTTGAACTGGCCCAAATGTTACTTGTAGCACCTTCATGTAACTTGTATTACTTTTTTGTTTAGTGGGTTGGTAAGATGTAGTGATGTTTATTGGTTGTCCAAATCAGATGCAATACCATGCCTGGAACTATTATATAGAGATTGGCTATTCTTTATATGTATCTATTTCAGGCATACAAAGTATATTTGGATTATTACATCTAGATAAAACACTACCCAAAAAAGTAACACATGTTGCTGTCATACATGGGAAAGGGATATTTTCTGTAAAAAGCCCCCCTCGAACCACTAATATTCTCCTTTCTAGTGATCCACTCCTTACTTTAAAATACATTTTGTTGGCTGGTTTCAGAACTTAGAGGGAGCGCTAACGTCACTACATATGTCATGTGACAGTGCTGTGACCTAGCATTTCGCCGCAAGACCCAAGCATTGTTACACAGGAAGATGTAATTGTTTTCCAGACCTGGAAGCACTGGGTATCAGTTCAGGTAGAGGAAGGAGTGGCTGAGTATCAGTGGGTCAGTGGGACAATTTTACAGACACCATCTCTTTGACATGAAAGGACTGGGACTGTATTCCAGTGAAGTCTTAGAAT